TTAGGTATATACAGTGTTTCTCATTAAGGAGAAAACTGTTGGCTATCTGTTTCGTTCATTCAAGAAGAATATGTCGCATTTCAGCACCGGAATTTGAAAAAAGTTTTCGTATACATTTCAGTTTCTTATTCCATGTAACTTCTAGAATTTCAACCCCCAATTCATTTATGATTCGAGATTTAATACCAACTATGTTTTAGATTGAAGAATATCAACCTGTTATGAATTGACCATTTAAGCCCAACGGAAAAATCGCATTATCGTTTCATTATTGATGAACTTCGAAACTTGGGAGCTGGAAGTCATAGGTAAAGTCCATAAAATGAGGAACATCTTCCTTCACAATGTTATGAACTTCCACAGGTGCATACTGAAAATAAATTACTAGCTAGTTTTTTATTTCAAAGAGGTGCAAACATACTTTTTTTGTCATTATTAATCAACTAGGTACCTATGAGTTTTCTTATTTTCCATCAAGGATCAGTATTTTTTGGTAACAAATGCTTAGGAAATGAAAATATACTGGGTACAGCATCTGGTTTCAATAACCTAGCAGTACCTGGTATGTATAAATAAATAAATAATCAGTTGGCAGGAAATGCTCTCCACAAAGCTGCTCTCCACAAAGCTTGCTGGTTTTAGATGGAATGGAGTCCAACTCTCTCTACGAACTGCCTTAATCCATAATTCAAGAATGTCTGAATGGAAAACTGCATCAAATAATATTACTCAATATGTTTATGGGAAAGTCATGGAAGTATTTAACTTTGACAAATAATATAGGTATAGTTTTTGAACATATTCTGAGACTGGGAACATTGTACACCTAAACTGATGACCATTTCAAGAACTATATTTTCCAAAAATCTGAACAATATTCAACTTACCCATGAAATGACACTTTCCTTTTGTCTTGCTCGTTCTTGCATCCAAAGGTGACACAATAAATCACCATTGTTTATCAAAACCTTCTCAACAATCAGTTCACAGTGTTTACACCAACAAATTCAGTCCTTTTTATAAAACAAAACACGCCAAATGAATAGATATTCCACATAAACAAAGACAATGAACTCATGTCTTCACTTTCTTGCCTGTTTAGATGTGAGAAAAAAATCTTAAGTAGGAACTTTATCATTTGATAAAAGCAAACGTAAACACCAATCCACCGTTAAACAACATGAGTAGGAAAGAGACAGGTTACCGTAAATCATGCTATCTTTGTTGCAGCTGCCCCTCGCCGTTGATTGATATATTACGCTTACGCTGGGTAAGCGTAATATATCAATCAACGCCCTCGCACACTTTGTGCTATTCCTGAGAACTGCCGTCGGCCGTCTCCCTTCCAGTTGTATTGAGTTCATTGATTGTATGTGAATTTCTTCGTGGGATATCGCTCAGACCTTGTTGAGAATATCCCGGCAGCGGACATTTATTGGAGCTAAAATAGTGCTCTCGGCAGCCGCTCAAAGAAGTCAATGAAAGCCGGCAGTGCCGGCACAGTTTCCTGGAAGGAGGTTGCCGAGATATCTTCAAGACCTCTTTGTGTTGGCTGGACTTCTCCAGTAAACACATCTCTGAGATACCGCATCATATGGTTCAAATCGTTTATCAATTTGTACCCTATTGAGAAGTGACATACTTAACAACATTATGCCGAATGAGAAGCCAGTATAATCTAAATATCTTATATCAGTTACTGTCGATGATAGAATCCAACCATAATCCAACCAATGTCGGCTAAATGAGAAAAGAATCTAGTCAGCTCTGGCCCTACGGAAGTCCCCTCTCTCTCACTCCACAACATTCTGTTTGAAAATTTATTTTTGGGAAAGTGTATAATAATTTCCCAATTTCTCAGCAATTCGGGCTCAAAACTTTGAAAGTGAAAAACTAGTAGTGTGCTTATCATGCCGTTTTTAGACGTTTGGCTTTTGCTCTGCTAAGTAACATCGACCTGCATGATGGTCTGCAGATCTGTCTGCAATAGAGATGGCTGGTAGGTAGCAAATGTGTAGGACAGTATAAAAATAATGACAGACGTTTTGAATTTCAGCAGGATCCTCTAGGGTTATGGGATGTTCCAGATCCATTTTATGATGGACCTGAGGGGGCAATAAATCAAATACTGCGTGTACTTGGCCAGATATAGTCCTGGTAACCAATAAGCCAATTCGAAACGAGAAAAAGAAGTATTAACAGGTTGAGTGCCATGAGAGTCTAACATGGTCTCGCACATACTTCTGACTTTGTGGCCGCGTGAGACCAATATGGTCTCGCAACTCTCGCATATATCCACAACTGATTTGACTGCATATCTCCACAGCGGTCTCTCGCGGCATTGTGAACTGAATGGCTTTCGAAACAGCGCGGCCTGGTGGTCCAGAGACATATTTTGGCCTGTGGATATGAGGGACCAAATTGGTAGTACACGTGACTAGGAAATGTTAGTAACCTTTTTTATTTTCTCACGCAAATATATAGTTACTTTCATGAGTTTTCTCTATTTATACATCATGAAAATGTAACAAAATCATTCAGAATATTCTAAAAATTAAATAAAAATCATTCATTGAACAATATACCTATACTCTGTTAGAAACTGCACTATAGTCGACGGTATATCATTTCTGAATGTTTGAGTTTTTCTAGCACAAATACTCTCTTTTTGATTTTGGGACGTTTTTTCGGTTGTTTGGAAGATGCATTCTTCAACAATGACGGAGAATCTACTGATGACTCATATTGATATTCATCAGAAAGATACACGTCCCCAAACAGTGATTCTCCATCTTGATTACTTCAGTTTTCGTCTTCATCGGACAACACCTCCTGACATAGCTTCGTCAATTGCTTTTGTTCTTCCTTGTACGAGGACATGATGTGACTTTTGTAGCATCACGAGACATAAGTTGGGCCGGTCTGCCGGTCTCCCGCTACGCATTCTCAACATGCAGACATGCGCATAGCGTTAGTGACACGTTGGTCTCGCGCAGCCGCCTGAACAAAATGGTCGAATGAGGGGCCGTGTGAGACCAATGTGGTGTCCAAAAATCAAGCGCCATGCATTTATTTCAACCTTCCAAAAATTCCAGCACATCAAAAATAAAAGTAAATATCAACAGTACGTTTGTATCTGATGTTTTAGGCAAAAATAATGTATCGGCCTCTGGAATAACCGATATTTTTCGATACATGGTGGCACTCAACCTGTTAATAGTCTTCTCTTGATGTTCTCTATCCTAATTTTAGTGTGACATCCAGGCAAAGAACTCAATGTAAACAACTGAAAGGGATCCTTTGTGAACCACAAGTGAGACAAAAATATTATTCTGGCTAAAATGTTTATAATTCCGCTGGTGATAGTTCAAGTGGTGTATGGCCACTCTTCGTCAGACCACGTCAGACTAAAACCAAAGAGGAGAGGTGACTAACCTATATTCTTTGCTAAAACTCTCGATATGAACAATTGAATGCCAGTTCGGAACGTGGGGTTCTCATATCCGATGATAGATGGCATGAAAGATGGACAATTTCTTGGAAATTTTCAATCCTTTCGAATTTTATTATGAAGTTGAACTAGACTTTCAAGGATGTGTTTTCTTTCTTTCGGGGCCCGAAGAGTTCCGTTGATGATGCACGAATTCAATGTATAGAAGCATCTAGAGACAGAACGCAAAAGAGACAGTTTGCAACAGACAATCCGTGCAGAAACATCTTGATCCGTTGATCGCGATATTGTCAGGAGTGTCACGTTTTCGGCATATTCATGATTTTGTTCTTATTTCAAATAGAAATATTTAAAATTCCTATACATTATAGTAGTTTAGTATAAGCAGATATTGGTATTATATCTTAGGTAGTATATTAGGTAGTTGAGTGAGTTGCATTGTGCTTTCATCATGGACGAATATTCATTTTATTTTATGTACCAAGTGAGTAAATAAGCTATATTATCACAGAATTTTCTTGAGTTATGACTTCGTGTCGGTGATGAATTCACCACTGAAAGTCGAAAATATTACTCCCATTTACACAAAAAAATTGTGAGAATGAAAATGTGAACTCAAATGAATGTGTTATGATGCTGTTTGGTTTGAAACTTCGGAAATTCAGTAAGATTCTCCCACGCCACGCTACTTTTACAAACTAGGCAATATCGAGAGATTTCGAAACTGCTTTTAATAGGAAATGGTAACTCCATTTGACTTTCTAATGTATACATCTATGTTCTGGCAACCCGCAGTGGTAAGGGATGTTAATCTGTGCCTATCTCTTTCTATCTTATGTTGGCTAATGGGAAGCGCTCGCATTATTGGAAATATTTTCTGGCTTTTTTGCTTTTATTTAAAAATGAACGTGATTAAATTTGAATTATTATTTAGGAGAATGGTTGCAATCAATAATTATTCGAAAATAATTATTGAATATTTTGTTGACTTAAAAGTGAAATTTCTTTTTTATTCTTGAAGGATTACGAAGTCAATGGAATAAATAATTGAAATTATATATTCTCATTCAAATGTCATAATATATTGTACAGGGTGAGCGAAGCTCAATGTCTCAGCACTATCAGAAGAAAAAGAAAAACGATATAAAAAATTTGAATGGTATTGAGTACTACGGGTCTATTTTAAGGCTAATTTCCAACAATACCTATTTTCCCATAAACAATTCACTATCAGAAGGCTGTCTCCCTTTCAGTTGCTTACATTGAGTTCAATGCAACCAGGATGATACACCTTGGTATAACAACATACATTTTTCAGTAATTCACGTTAGAACCCTGAAGGACGGAAGACATATTCTTCTCTCAAATGCTAAAATGCTAGTTGACCTTCTCCATTCAATCAGATTTATTTGCACCACCAAATGAAAAATTATAAATGCCAAAGGATAAGTCGACTTAAAAGTTTATTGCATAGAATAAATCAAAGCCGTTACGGCGAGTACAAAATACAGAAAAATAAATAACCAAACACAGTGAAAAGATAGTCGATAACAAAACAGTTCCAATTTATTTTCAAATAAAGAGTATATTAAATATAGCACAGTTCTTAACAAACATACGTGTAATGAAAATGAATGGATCATTTGAATATTTTCCCTTGGTTAAACTTCCGGCCTTCCTTATCCGTACCGGTCCAAGAGAAATATTGCTCTACTAACTTTTTGGTCTCCTCGGATGCGGGGTCCAGTTTCTTCCATTCATATGATTCGTAATCGATTTGCCAATCGGGACTCAACTGTAACAAAAAATATGGAATATGTAATATTTTACAACAAATCCGGAAAAAGATATCTTGCCAAAAGTATTCGACTTTTCAACATGACCTAGAACTCCGAATTATTACATTATATCAAAGGGACAGGGTTATGAAAAAAAGTCATGTATTTCATTCAAAAATGATGAATTTCTTAAGTTGGTATTTGAATTTTATTGTATTTCTGCAATTTTTTATATTATCTGGTATACAGTGTGTCCCACTTACCATGCTCACCATGGGTATCTTTTTAACGGTGAGAGATACGAGGTCGGTTAAATGACACCAAATGTGGAGTTTGTCAAGGCCAACTATAATGTGAAAACATATTTTGATAAAATCTATTTGTTTTTGTTTTATACGCAAAAAACAGATTTTGATCATTTTCATGTCTCCTCCGTAACTTCTTTATTTATGGAAATATTCAAATAGGAATTTCACATTCTCATGGTAGTTTTTCAAAGTGATTTCGTAAAATATATGAAATTTTTACCAACTCTTCTAGAATTTGAGATATCAGCACCAACTTCAGTTTTTCAAATGTAGGTCAAAGCTCACTATGACTCAGTTACAAATAATTTTTTTTCTCTTACAGATGATATGTCGCAGTAATAGTTTTGTGTTGATAACAACGGAGTTATCGTCATTTATACAAAAACAAAAAATTATTTGGAAGCCGCCATCTTGAATTTATAAATTTTAACAAAAAAATCATGATCTCCGACCTCAAAAACCCCCACTTACCAATTTTGAATGGAATCGGACCGAATCTTGTCCGCCATCTTGGAGCAGCCATTTTTTTCAATTTCAGCGAAAATTCCATAACTTCGATTAACTTGAAATTTGGCAGGTGTTCATAATATCGGTGACAATTCATTATGGAATTTTTGTTGAAATTAAAAAAAAAATGGCTGCTCCAAGATGGCGGACAAGATTTGGTCCGATTCCATTAAAAATTGGTAAGTGGGGGTTTTTGAGGTCGGAGATCATGATTTTTTTGTTAAAATTTATAAATTCAAGATGGCGGCTTCAAAATAATTTTTTGTTTTTGTATAAATGACGATAACTCCGTTGTTATCAACACAAAACTATTACTGCGCCATATCATCTTTAAGGGAAAAAAAAGTTATTTGTAACTAAGTCATAGTGAGCTATGACCTACATTTGAAAAACTAAAGTTGGTGCTGATATCTCAAATTCTAGAAGAGTTGGTATAAATTTCATATTTTTTTCGAAATCATTTTGAAAAACTGCCATGAGAATGTGAAATTCCTATTTGAATATTTTCATAAATAAAGAAGTTATGGAGGAGACATGAAAATGATCAAAATCTGTTTTTTGCGTATAAAACAAAAACGAATAGATTTTATCAAAATATTTTTTCACATTATAGTTGGCCTTGACAAACTCCACATTTGGTGTCATTTAACCGACCTCGTATCTCTCACCGTTAAAAAGATACCCATGGTGAGCATGGTAAGTGGGACACACTGTAGAGCACAGCATGGGTGAACCTTTTTTGGCCTATAGTAGAATTAGCGATATCAAGATGAAATAAACATGTTGTCTAGCTTGGTAATTATGAATTTCATTGTTTTGTGTTAAAATAAAATTGGATTTAATTCTTTTATTTATGATATTGTATATAATTTTAGTATGATTCAGTTATTTTATATAATTGATTTGTTGGTGTATCATATAGTAAACAACACATTCCTTTCAATGTCTTTTTATATAATGCAGATATTTTATTAAAATTGTTTCTTGTACATTCTCCCCAAACATTTATCAAATAGTTAATACCACTGAGTATATGCAACTTTTTTATCCAGCTTGAGACATCATCTCAGGGCTCCAATAATAGGAGATATTTTTTCCATCAAAACAGTTATATGTCTGTCCCACTCTAATTCATCATCAAACCAAATCCCAAGATACTTTTTCTCATTCGTTTTTTCAAAGATTCCTTTTCAATTCTGAGATTTAAATTAACATTTTGTTTATTTTTTTGTTTTGAAAAATCATATATTCAGTTTTATCAGTATTTATTGATGAAAGGTTTGAATGCAGCCATTTCTCAAATTTCATCAAGTCTTTGTTCATTGAATTTTCTAAAATGATAGGATTTTTAGTTTCATTTGAAAGTACCATATCGTCTGCATAAATAATAATAATAATAAGACACAGGGGTGTTCCCATTAGAAGTGAGACACACCGTATCAACAGATTTGTTACTTGGGGTGATAATAATGACCATGATGGTTGTCCAAAAACTTACAGGAAATGCCAGCTCCTGTCCCCTCCACACCCACACGCCGGAAATGGTGCTGTTGTTGTCCTCGCCGAACAGACAGACCGACGCGAACGCCTGTTTGCGCATCTTGTCCAGCCGCTGTTGCATGCCGCCGATGAGGTTGCAGCTCATGAACACCTTGGTCAGCTCCTTCGGGTACTTGTACTCGCCGTACCAGATCGAGTAGTGCTCGGGATCGAACTTTTGCCAGAAGTACGGGATCGATTTCGATTCGTCCTCGTTCGAGTAGCAACGTTTGAAGTCGTCCATGTCGAAGGTGCTATAAAGGATTTCGCTTTGTTTCATTCGCGCTTTTTCACTTTCATGTGTGTTTAGTACTTGTATGACCCTGTATAATAGTTTGGTACTTGTATGACAACGTGTTGTTAAAACATAATATTCATCAACAAGATCAATAAAGGAGAATTGCAATTCCAATTGAAATTCTCATATCAATCTTCATTTCAATATCATATCCAAACAAATACAGTCCACTGTATATTAGGCATCGAACAAATTGGTCCTTCGAGCCGGATCTATTCAAATTAAACCTTCAAGACTGCCAAGTTCTTCACAATGGATACCGAGCAGCATTAGAGTAACAGTGAATGCCAAGCAGCTGGAGTTTTCACAGGTAGCAACAAGCAGTTCAAGCAAACAATGCGTGACTGATAGTCATACATAACCACAAATAAATAGAAGAAAATGCGGGAAGAAGGTGTATAGTCTATACTAAGTCAGTTGAGACACTCCAAACTAGCCGATTATCTCGAGGATATGACGGCAGAACTATTTGAGAAATGGGCAAAGCACCATCTTTTACCAAATATCCGAGCAAATTCAACCCCTGTTTATTTGTAGCAATGACGGCTAAATATCTAGTCTGTCTGACGAGTTATACCGTCATTGATTTTTAGTTTCAAAAACATTCAGAACAATACTGTATCATCAAAATCAAATGATAGTTTCAGATAACCAACATTATATTCCCAAGATATGCAACATGAGGGATATTGACATTTTGATGGTATTTTTGATCAATCAAAAGAAAATACTGTGAATGGTTATTTCAAATGGATTAAGATAGATTTTGACAATAATTTTGGCATACAAATAGTGTTGGGATATTTATTTTATCAAGCATGCCATCACATTATGTTGTAAAAGGTACAAAAAATGCATGGAGTATTCAACATTTCTCTTTATAATTTCTTCTGCAGATAGAGTGGAAATGTCTACAACACCGACGACCATATTTCATAAGCATTTCACACCAGTGATTGCATGAATCCAAGCTTCTTGTCTTCTTTTAGAAACTTCACAAGTCTTTCTATTAGCTCTTATTGCAGAAGAAATTCTAGAAATGACAAAATTTCAAATTGAAAACCAGGTGAGGAACTACAGCACTTTTAGATCCCAATTTACCTACCTGAAAAATCTTATTCCTTCGTCTCTGGCTGCAATTTTTGTGCATTGTAAAACAGCACAATGTGATGGCATGCTTTAATAAATAAAGAACCCAAGAAACTCTCAATCATTTATGTAAACAAATAAGAAAGATGTTTGTTTGTACAGTGATGAATGAGAGTGCCATAAACAACATGAAAATGGAAAATATCATCTAAAATATAATTCATGAGTACTTCACACTGAAGTTTGGTACCCTATTTTCTAGCCTATTTCAGAAACACCCCTATATGTGGGGACATTAAATTGAAGTGGTCTTGAAAAAGACATGATTGGCTGAATGTTGACAAATTCGTATATTCAAGCTATTTTGAAGTCTAATTTTTGTTTATTATAGAATGCTCACCCTTTTGGCATTTCTGAGAAAGGATCTTTGCTTTTGGGTTCTGAGGCCAGAACTGCCTCAGCCTCATCTAAGGGTTCTTCTGGTTCTTTTTCTTTCTTTTGCTGCTTCTTCTGCTCCTGCTTCTTTTCTTCCTTCTTCTTACCCTTAGCTGAAAAAAAATCATTGTCAAGATCCAATTCATCAATAGTGTAAACCACTTGGAAGTGGAGACCTCACAGACATTTTTATTTTTTGTTCGTAAATATTAAAACATGAGTTATTAGATCAGACGAAATTTATTATTTAGAACAATGTTGCCTTTAGTGATTTAGACAGATAATGTTACAGATGCAATATTACGGATGTGATGCTACGGATTTGATGTTACGGATGTAATGTTATGGTCGTACCATTATGGTGCTTCATGGCAATATCAAAGATACAAAGACATGAAAAAGACTAATGGTATATATGAAGAATTATGGTTACTTTTATAAATTAATGAACAATGAGGGAATAATGATTTAAATTCAGAATTATCAGAAAATGTTATTTACATTCATGGAAATCATTCAAGATTACTGATGGTTTCTGAAAAGATTGTTTATTTTCGTGAATAATGTCTTGATATTTTAGTGCCTTCTACACCACATTTGAAGTTGGATATAGAGGTGTGGAATATCAAATTATATATATCTCTCTTTGTTACAAATAAGATGATGACTACACCATACTTGCCTTTGAAGAGAGATTTTGGTGTATTTGAAAGTTTTCTGAATCCCAATATGCTTTCTATTAATAATCAGTGATTTGTCAATTTGCTTACCCTTTTTCTTGTTATTTTTTTCTGGCATCTCTCCAATAATGTTTTTAACATTATTAGCAGCTTGGAAAATAAATAGTTGATACACTAACAAATTCATTAAACTGACTTGTTTGGAAATAATTGAAATATATGGTGAAAAATGCCATAAATTAACTTGAGTTACACGGGGATTCTTGAATATAATCCTTTTCTCATAAACTCAGTAGCATGAACTAACAGAAAAATGTTTGAGGGTATTGTTCAGAACACAATTTCAATAATATATTTGCATTATATAGAAAGACTACTATATGATAGACCAACAAATCAATTATATAAACCTAAATATAAACAATCAGAATCATTCTCATTAGAAGAAATGTTCAAATTGAAAGTATGAAAATTCCATACATTATAAAATTGTACTTCAACAAGAAAGAATGGAATTCATGATCACCATTGGACAAAAATACTTCACCCACGCTGCTACTTGATTATCAGTTTCTATTATAGTCTTCTTCAATCTATTTTGGCTTATGACATAATAGTGGGTCTATATAAACAAGCGGTGAAACCACTTATAACAATTCAAAAATATACCTGGAAAATTATTTTCAAAAAACCTTCTGATTATTCCGAAAAATCATGATAGATTGAGAATTCAGAAATTTTGGAAATTAGTTTGAACATAAAATAATACGTGAATAAATGAATGAATAAATGAATGAATAAATGAATGAATAAATGAATGAATGAATGAATAAATGAATGAATAAATGAATGAATAAATGAATGAATAAATGAATGAATAAATGAATGAATAAATGAATGAATGAATAAATGAATGAATAAATGAATGAATGAATAAATGAATGAATAAATGAATGAATAAATGAATGAATAAATGAATGAATAAATGAATGAATAAATGAATGAATAAATGAATGAATAAATGAATGAATAAATGAATGAATGAATAAATGAATGAATAAATGAATGAATAAATGAATGAATAAATGAATGAATAAATGAATGAATAAATGAATGAATAAATGAATGAATGAATAAATGAATGAATGAATGAATGAATGAATGAATGAATAAATGAATGAATGAATAAATGAATGAATAAATGAATGAATAAATGAATGAATAAATGAATGAATAAATGAATGAATAAATGAATGAATAAATGAATGAATAAATGAATGAATAAATGAATGAATAAATGAATGAATAAATGAATGAATAAATGAATGAATGAATAAATGAATGAATAAATGAATGAATAAATGAATGAATAAATGAATGAATAAATGAATGAATAAATGAATGAATAAATGAATGAATAAATGAATGAATAAATGAATGAATAAATGAATGAATGAATAAATGAATGAATGAATAAATCAATGAATGAATGAATAAATCAATAAATGAATGAATAAAATGAATCAATGATTGAATAAATACCTGGTTGGGCGCCAGCCAGAGGCACTGCTGCCCCGGCGACCGCCACCTGGCTGCACAGCTGCACGTCCCCGAGGACGGCCTTGAAATGCGGCTGGTTCACCAGCGTCTCGAACCACCTGTTGACGTTGGCGAACGGCCGTCTGTAGTCCGGGTCGAGGACGTACCTGATAAGATGAGATAAAAGTATACTTAATTGTCGGAGAAAAATAATTTATTGACAAAGCTTGTACAAAATATAGTCTGTGAAACTCTTAAAAAAATATGAAAAAATTTGAAATCAAAACACAAATACACTAATTCAAGTTCACACTTCATGTATAAAATGTAAAATATTGCGATCTAAAATAGAATTGAACATGAGAATTTGCAGTTCGTTGAAAAACAAAAACACAATTTTACAGAGAAACATTATTTGAACATAAGACAAGTCATTAAATCAGAAACATATTCCATAGTTCAAAATCAGACTCCACATATAGGATAAATAAAAGACAAGACAATATGAAACTTCTAATCACAACAGAGTTTCATTGTAATATTCCTCAACGTTGTAATACGCTTTTTTGCAAGGGCTTCTTTCACAAGATTTTTGAACTTTTTATAGCTTTTCTCCTTCCTGATTTCCTAGGGGGTATCATTAATTGATTGTTTGATTCGTTTTGGTCGCAAATGTGGGGAGTAATTTCTTACTCACACACCTTCCAAAATACTCGTTTTTGGTTGGTTGAAATATCTAGTGTTATTCATAAAGTCGGCATCATATGGAAAAAACTTTTAATGGGCGGGTGGACAGTCCTAATCGCCAATGAAAACTCTGCTGCGTTGAGTACCGTTCATCGAATCTAAAGCTGGCTGAGTGCAACTGATCAGTAGAAACAGTTTGTCTTGCATCAGCTGATAATTGATTCACGAAAATCAGATGTGGTTTTTTGATAGTTATTTTTGTATAGGTATGTGCTGGCGATACATAGTTCTAAGAAATTGGTCGCCGAGAACATCAAGCACATTGTGCTGAGAACTGAAAAGACCACGTCCACAAGTCGTGTGCGGGGTTGTCACGTTGACCGATTAAAATGTCCTCTAGTGTGAATTAATATGATTATATTATTTACACAAATTAATTATAAGCAATAAGCCACAAATCATAAGGGACCAATTTGAGACAATTGAATTTTTATTGCTAATTAGGAATATTACCGATACTCAATTGAGAATTTATGAGTTATTGAATAACTAATATTTCTGAAGTTCCCAATCGTATTTCAACACATGGCAACTGTGCTATGGTCTGCCCCTACTCACGAAATCGTGACGTCAGTTTTTACTGGCGGTAAAATTTCTAGCCGTTTGAAAATAATCGTGGCATTATTGATGATTTTAGCACCTAAAAATCGACCGAAAAATTCTTGAAAAATATGAAATTGGAATGTATTATTTAAAAAATTAAAAAAAAATGAGTCCACTCGCCTATTATAATTTATTTTGAAATTCGACTTGGGCGGTGAGTTTTGCTCCAAAAAAGATGAAAAACAGCCTAATCGGTCAAAGTCACGGGCCTTTCGCTACATGTCAAAAGTTGAGTTTTTTCAAATTTCCAGTGTTCACAGAGAGATCCAACAGTGAACCCAAGACGGAAGTTTCCGGAAAACACACTATTTGAATGCCTAATCAATTCAGAAGACTGAAATTCCTTCAAAATTCTTGCCTCACAATAGACTTTTCTTATTTTGTTTTCTTATTCACACTAGCAAATTTAATAATTCCATATATCTTGTACATTCAATAATGATGGATTTAAACTCAATGTATAATCGCCTTTTGGGTATCCAATAAAGCTCCTTAATTATTTTTATTATTAGGGATGGGTAACACTCAACACTACTTCAGACAAAATCATCATAGGCACTGAATTTCAATTTGTATTGAAGAATTTTAGACCAACTTTGTATGATCGCATTTCAAAGAAACATTTTTCATATCTACATCAACCTAACCTCTTTAGTCCGAGTCGAGTGCCATCGCTAACCTTATCTTAACCTCTATCAACAGTTTCAACCTGACACTAGCGCCTAGCGTCTAGAAACAGGGCGCATCAAATATTGCGAGCCAGCTGTGGGAGAACAATACAGAAAATTACCGGGCCTCTGACGAAACCAGTGACAGTATTTGGAGTGTCCTGTCTCTAGTTGATGAATGAAATTTTGACATGAAATCAAGAGGGGAATACAAAAATTATTTTTTTTTGAATCACAATTATATAAGTAGATTGTGGATTGAAAGTATGATTGTTGTAATATATATCCATGGAAAGCTTTTTATCAAAAAGTTTTTATTAACAGTTTTTTTTTTTACTTTTATTTTTCAATTTTTAGTTATCCCTAGCTGGATTTTTCGATTTACTCTCAAAGAGGCTTTTCATTTGATACCCATATTGTAGAAGTATATTGAAAATGACCATTCCGCCATCTTGGATGGTCCGCCTTAATGGATGTAGAATTACGTCACATCATTTTTCGAGCTATTACTCTTAACGAGCCCTTTCAAAATGACCATTCCGCCATCTTGGATGGTCCGCCATATTCGATGTAGAATGACGTCACATCATTTTTCGAGTTACTCTCAACGAGCCTTTTCATTTGATGTTCATATTGTAAAAGAATATCAAAAATAGCTATTCCGCCATCTTGGATTTAGGTCCAGTCACACCAAAAGTGTCATATTTGGTCTGATACTAGTGTGATTATACACTCATGAAATTGAATCACAATACCAATTTTAAAGAATCAATTCAAAATAACTAAGAAACAGGGGGGTAAATTAAACAGTATTAGTACAACCCTACCTGTAGGGGTTGAGCAAGTTGCAGGCAACAACGATATCGGCAAGGGTGATTCTCTCGCCAACTAAGTAGGTGCGAGTGAGCAAGTGGCTATTAAGGATTGTCAGGGCAGCTTTCATGTCGTCTTTGGCTCTTTGAGAGGCCTAGAAAAAATTGAAACCTCTTCATTTGCAATGAAAATAAATACTCAAAGTCGGTAGACCACACTTTGTGTAAAAACTAGTCACTTAAAGAATAACCGGTTTCGGCACAATGGCCATCATCAGACTGCAATACCTAAAATAAATGATGAATGTAGTATTGCAGTCTGATGATGGCCGTTGTGCCGAAACCGGTTATTTTTCAAGTGACTAATTTCTACTGACTGAGTATTCATTTTCATTGAAAATACATTGGACCAGTTTGAGTATGGATGATTTCTATGATTTATTCCTCTTCATTTGTTTTCATTTTGTCAGGGATAAATTTAGAATATATCATTTAATGAAGTCAACACAGTCCATTGGCAAACAATCTCTATTTCATAATAGAATAATTTGATACAATTCAATACGAAAATATACATAATGTAGGAAGCCTTGAAGTCAATCTTAAATGATACTTGGTCAGGACAATGTGATATGTGATTATAATATTTGGCATGATTCAATTACTTAGAATTGAAATATGTTAACTTTCATCTAAGGAAAAAGTATGAATTTGTTTCCACTGAGTGGAATTTATTAGTTAACTTTTTATTATTATCAATTCTTTTTTATAGGTGTTCATGTATCCCTATTATAAACAGATGTTTCTTGGGGTGATAAAGGACTATATAAATTGCAAATTTTGTTGCTAGTCTGAGGAGGTATTACCACATTCTGAAAATTTTCATTTACCCATGTAAATTCCAGAAATTCCTGGTGATTTTCTGAAATGTCCAGTAATTTCCCGGGAATCTCTCTTAATTTTCCGTGGGGGAGGGGTGTAAACAACATACTTAAATTGTGGAAGAAAACTTCCCTTTTCCATATATTTCTTGAAATGACTCAAAATTCTTTGAAATTACTATGAATTCTTTCATTTTTGGCATTTTCCACAAAGTGTGGTTGAAACATTGAACTTTCATTCTTCTAGAGGGATCAGAGCAGATTCATTACCAAAACGTCCAGCAAACATGATTAAAAATGTGAAAACCTTCAATGAGTCTATTGTTGATGTCTCTTAGTAAAAAAATCATTTTTAGGTTTCACACATAAATTCTGAGACAAATTATATTGAAATTTTTTCAATACATATATCTTCATTTATAAAAAGAGAAGTTACCAGAAAATCTGAAATATAAAATATACATTCTACATTCTCAATTAACATAGTGACAAGTTTGAACTTTCATCATGTTAATAGTTCAAATGAGACAGTGAAAAATTGTTTTCTAGGCCCCCATTTATTTCTGTTGGTTATACATGCTTGAGAATGGTGCTATTTTCGCATTATCCTTGACAGAAAGGAAAGTTCTAGGCCCAAAAGTTGATTGGGACTGCCAGGACCCATATTCTAATATTCCATAATGTGATATGTGATGTCACAAGGGACTAGGTGGCTCTTAGAGTTAAGAACAGAATAGGGGTTCTAATGGGACTAACATGTTAAGTTAATGTACTATTAAAAATTATGACAGCTTCAATGTCAACCTTGGCTCCTTGAGGCATACAAAAATTTCTGTTATTATTGATCAGTCATTCAGTTGAGAAGAGGCCATCAAGCCAAATAAGAAAAATTGCATCTCTCTTAGTATAGTATTTTCAGGAAAATGGAGAAAATTAAAATTGCAAAAATATAATCAGGAATTTTTCATGAGTCATTCAGGGCAGCTCTCCTACTATCTTTGGCCAAACAGAAGCAATAAGAATTAAATTTTATGTCAAAATAGTCCTGAAGTTAGTTCTTGACTCTTTGGCAGTGTGAATATTCATAGATAAATGAATCAGCATTTACCATTAAAAAAATACATGAAAAACACAATGTGCCACTAACATATAGCATCTGTCCTATTCTAGTTGAACCTTAATATTCCATTTCTGAATGTATAGAACAAATTTCACATATTTTCTTGTAAAAAAGACCAGAACAACTATACCTTGAAGATATTCCTAAGTCTGTTAGTATGCAACTGTTTACCCAATCAGAATACTTCTGTATAAGGCCACTAAAATAAACTCTGGCAGAGAAATAATGTGAAGCTAATAGCAGCCAAGCTACCTACCTCTTGTGCTCCAGAGTTGTTTCTAATAATACCCAAGATTGGGAATACCCAGGCACAGCCTGGAGGAAGAATCTCTCCCTCTGCAAAACCAATCCATTGCAAAATCTGAGCTTTGTCATATTCGTTGGCTCCTCTCAGTTGTTCATTTGCAACGAAGTATGCAATTGCATTGCTATCTTGAAGACACTGGCCATTATTTGACTCAAAAGCTGGCACCTGAAATCATGATAACTTGCAAATACTGGCCCCAGAATCCAATAACATATTATGCGATTACTTATATTTACAAAAAACTCACCTTTCCACCGGGAAACTTATTCGTGAACTCTTTAGTTTTGTTGGTTTCACCGAAAACGAAATTTGGTGCTAATTTGACAGTTATGTTGGCATATTGTGCCGCAATAAGAGCCTTTGCGGCACGGAAATTATCAGGGTAGGTGTACAGAGTCTGCAAAAATATGGTATTATTTGCATAAACAAGACATTTTCCTTCGAATTCGAGATGTATTTCATAGTGGATGATCGATAATTAATATGAAAATTTCAATATATTTCGAAGAACTCACCCCGGCAGCCATTCTTACTACACTTTCAATTATAAAGAGAGGCTAAATTGGCTAAAAAACGTTGACGTATGCGTCAAGATGTCAAAACAATGTAGTTGCGTTTCATTTTTCCCTTTCTGGTAGCGGTGGTGGGAACAAAATGACGTTCATAGATTATATTTATACATGGGTTGCGTGCAAGATCTGTCAGATGACCGACCCTGGAGGCAAAACATTGAAACACAACCTCACTTTTCTGATATGTTTACAAAAGATTCCACGTCATTCCTTGTACTGAGACCATCTTAACTGAGACTGTACTGTCGACACATTGAAGTGATTCCGGTGGCGGAATCAAATAAATGAAACGCAACTAATGTTTAATACTAGGGATAGTTCCGTTTTGCGGTAAATCAACCAAAGTTCAGGGTTGATACGCGGTTGTCTCGCTCCTTTCAACCAATCAGCGCCAGAGCGGGATAGCGTCTTTCAGAGTGTCCATTTCAAATCGGTCATGTGGCACCCAGTAATTAAGGATTATACGATACGACTGCAAAACCAGTAATATCATCTCTCTTCCATGAAAAACCAAAAAGTGTGGTTATAATTATTATTAATTCTCTATTAATTTCTATAAACATGAATAATGTTGCCAGTTGAAACCTAGAATCAACTAATGAACTGAAATTCACCGTATGATGTTATGAAATCGTTTCAGGTAGTTTTGGGTGACTACGAAATTGAAGTCGATGATGTAACTCAATATCCTTGAGCGAGGAATACTCTAGTGACCTCGCATATTGAAGGTATACATATAAGTATCTCTGCAGCCTGATATCATGAATAACAGATTCATCAGTTGAAGAATAAAAAAATTCAGCAGTATCAACAGCTAAAACGAAATCATCCATATTACATAGAACAGTTGAATAAATGTATTATTCCCATTTTCATACCTTGTCGCCAAACAATGACATACCATTACCTCGCCATTACCCCTATCATCATCGCTAGGTATTCGTTCCGTTATTCCCACAGAACTCATATTCTGTAAGTAATATGAGTTCTGTGGTGATTCCCGAGTGATGGTAGTTTACTGACAAGTGACAATTTAGGTTTACTGAAACCACAGTATACACCCTAGGGTGTATACTGTGCTGAAACTGAGATGTTTATAAGTTGACTCGGAACTCAGTTGGTGGCGACAGCCTGAGCAAAACGAACTCGAGCACCACAAGTTGTCAAATGTAATGAGTCAAGTGTCATTAAATGCGTTTTATTTGTTCCATTCTGGTAATCGTGAGTGGGAACAGAATGACGTTTGCGAATGAAACGTGAATCTTCATGACCTTGCATGAGAGAATGGATGATAGAGGTTGAATTTATATTTTGGGGAACAATTTCAAAATGTTCTTCGTAAATCTCTGCTATCATCCCTCCACTAGCAATACCAGTCAGACGAACTAGACAAGCCCAGTCAGCACATCCATCCGTTGTCAACCTCGAAAGATGTCGAACAGCACTTTATCGAAACTCCTTCATCCATAGAACGGCTAGGCTCTGGAATTCATTGCCTGAAGAAGTATTCCCAACAAAATGAACATGAAATCTCCAGAAGTTCATAAAAATTTAAATACCTACCTCCTGTCCCTATCCTCCCTAGGAACGCACGATGTTCTTAGAACATTAAAGGGATTTCCTTTCGTGTGCTCCAAGCGATAAAAAAAACTAGAGTTGAAGATCAAGAAAATGAATTCACACATATCTGGAGAAGTGCTCGTGGTGATTGGAGAAAGATCCTCGGGATCGAGAGAAATTGTTTTATCTGGGAATGAAGATTTGAAACCTGGCTTCTGTCTAAGATGCCAAAAACAAGGCCTGGTTCGTTTGTGTTCGCTCTACCGGCTGAACTTGATTTTTTTTATGACTTGCTCTGTTTACATCATGTCATGAACAGAAGCAACTATGGAAATGAAACCAATTTAGCAATATCAGAGATTATGCAATACAAACGAACAGGCCTAACATCTCACTTTTGTCTTACTTGGAAGAATCATAAAATTCTGAACCTCACGATAAAAATGTCTTCTAATCGTCTCCCACTTTCAAAAAGTTTCATTTTCAATCAATCTAATTTCATTTTTTGACAACTGTCAACAGTCATTCAATATAATTCCTTGTAATTATAAGCACGGGAGGCGGGATGAAAAGTAGCAACAAGAATCGGAAAAGTTGCAAATGAAACGACACATTGAAGTCATTCCGGTGGCGGAATCGGATAAATAAAACGCAACTATCATCCAATGCCTTAATGCCTATTGTCAATGTCGAATGTCAACCTTGTCAGGTCAGGTGATTACTAAAAAAACTGAATTACTGATAATATTTTATTTTTCTTTTCTCGTATTTCATGGGACGGTGTTGGATTTTGGATTCATGAATAATTTTTAGTATGACCTGTATTATTATCATTTTACAATCAAATAGTAATTAATAATTGGCGCTATGGGTGACTCCCAAAATAACGATGTGGCAAATTCCATAGCGACAACGGCCCCTTCGGGTCCTGAAGGAAATGGAGGTGCAGTTTCTAATGTAGGCTATTATCAACCAATCAATGAATGTACAATTAATGATTATTCCATTTCAGACGACCGGAGAGCCACCCCCGAATCCAAGACAACCATCCAGACTGGAATCATTCCTTGCAGTCGGCAAATCTCTTATTATTAGGGGAATCATCATGTACTTTGTTTTCTCATTTTTCAAACCACAACAGCCTCCGGTTACCACAGCCAATGAAAATGGGGTTAAAGTGGCTCAGAGGGCAGCTAGAAACATATTTCCAGAAAGAACTGTAATGAACTTATATATTTATTTGTCTGATAATGAAACTATGGACAATTACCACCCTTCGAATCTATTTTGGTACAAAGAAGGTTTGACTTATGGTGACTGGAATGCTGGACCATATGGTGATGGCTCTTATGCTGTAGAAAAAGATGTGCCAATCACCCCAAATATGAGGAATAATGGCTCACTCTTCCTACATGCATATCTGACCAGGCTAGGGTACAGCCCTGATCCTAGTGCTGATAATTATGCCAAACATCAAATGTCTTCAGTGATGAAACAATTAAACAGGTTAGTTTACTCATCAAATATAGAAATAATCCTTTTATTTATTTAAACCTATTTTATTGGTTGTTCATCATTATGTTTGTGTCAAGTTAACACTATCTTGGTTTGAAATTTTCCACAATGCAGAATTAACTGAAGCAAACAATAGATGAGTTTTCTCATGACCAAATACAGATGAACATGTCCTATCATTGTTGAATTCAATTTTTTCATGACTTCCTGTTAGTTTGAAGTTGTTTACCTGGCCATAAAAAACTGTATATCAGTCATGCAAGCATGATGTGATTGATACAATACCTACCTAATTAATGATTAATCTTTCTTAGGAATAAAGGCAGATGAAATCTTAATTTTCCATTATTGTTTTGCTCAAAAAGCAAAAATTTCCATGTGATTCACAAGCAGATTTAGAATGCCTCAAACATCTCATTTTTATCACTTTAAAGAATGTGGACACACTTATCATATTGTTGAACAGCTGAACAAAAAACATGAGACACAAATATGTTTCTATTTGTTTTGTTCTTTGACCTCTACAAAGAAAAAACACATTTTACATTCTAATTTCCCAACAAAAAAACAACTATTTTAAAAGGCAAATTCGTTCCCTTCACAGACACTAACCTATATCACTATTTATTTTTAGTGATTCACATAAACTTATAAATTGCATGATATTTCAGCATGCTCTAATTAAATTAATTTTACAACAAGTAATAAATTTACATATAGGTACTAATGATATGTATGAACCAAAAAAGGACAATACTTTATCTGATTCAGATGAAATTCAATTTTTTACATATTTTTTTATCACTTGGTGAGCAGGAAAGAGAATCCCTATAATGTTCTAAAAACATCCTGTGTACCTAGGGAGGATAGGGAGAAAAGGGAGAGGAGATAGGTGTTTGAATTTTTCTTGAGCTTCTGGTGATTTCAAGAAGTTCTTGGAAATACTTCCTGAAATAACAGTTTGTTTATGATTAATTAATTATTTGTTTTGTTTCTCTGTTGTAAATTTTTACTATTGGTTCCTATTTTTTATATACTCAAAGCAAGTATCAATGTAACTGTATTTTGTGATATTTGTGAATTGAGAATAATTAAGGGATATGATTATTCTTGTATGAGAATGTTTGTTTTGTTTGTTTTTATCTTGTTAGAAATAGGTTACTTTTCTGTATACTAAAAGTAGATAATGTGTTGACATCATAGGTTCATTTGATTATCCATTCTTGGAGTTTATATAGCATAAAATAGATCTTGAACAGGTCTATTGAAATCTACTGAATTTTTGACAAGATCTTTACTGATGACCAACCCAAATTTTTGTCTTTTTCAAATGTGATATGCTGTATCTTGAAAACAATGCATCTTCGGTGAAACCGGAAATGGCTCCGGTTTCAAATTTTCAAATGGAACACCCTGTAAGTATATTGTAACCTTGATTGTAACATTCATCGATTTCTGACACAATTCTGGACTTTAATATTTTTAATAGTTCTCACCTTAATTTTTTCAGAGTCAAATATATTTCATAAAATTAAGGAACTATTCTCGGAACTATTACTGTCTTCTCATAAATGTGTCACTGTCATTACATAAGTGAGTTGTTTCCTTTCCAATCCGAAGACGTCATAAAATTAACTGCAAAGGATTATGCATCATGGCTATCCATGGCACACTTGACAAAAGTAAATAAATCATCATCCAGTATTTTCTTTATTAATATTCAATTGATGTCCAATGGCAATGAACTTATATCGTTAGATACGTCAAAAATCGCAATAAATTAATATCGTTAGATGCGTCAAAAATTTTTTTCTCAGAAAGAATTTTTTGGCAAGGCAACCTGACAGAATTTGCTTCCTTTTCCATGGTTAAATCGTTGAAAGCACCAACGCTCAGACCATTCAGAATTGAAAGACTCCTAGTGTTTTTGCTTTTTGTCTTTGGCGTGCAATGCTACTCATGTTAGGGTAGGCAAAAATTTAAAAATGTGACATGCAGAGAACAAAGATGGAGATGATCCGACATTGAACCGTTCCGATTCATTCAGAATCGAAAGACACCTAGTGTTTTTGCTTTTTGTCTTTGGCGTGCAATGCTACTCATGTTAGGGTAGGCAAAAATTTAAAAATGTGACATGCAGAGAACAAAGATGGAGATGATCCGACATTGAGCCGTTCCGATTCCGCAGTAAATCCTGACGTGTTGCCTATTCAGGAATCTTGATTGCGAATGTTATGTTAATCTCCTGTCTCCAGTCGCCAAATTCGATTTAATGTCGCATTTCAACAAAAAAAGTAGCCGTAAATGCGATAAATCGCCACACCTGGCAACACTGAGTCCCTGACTGTCTTCTGTCTCCCTCTTATTATTGTTCCTAATCGCTCGGTTGGTGGAAATCGGCCCCGCTTCCCCCCTCCCCTCATCTCTAATAGACTCTAGACAACAAATAGCTGAGAAGCTGGCCGCATGGAGGTAAGTAACACGTGGTATCGCCATTCGGAAGCCCGTTCGCACCCTGTTCGTATTTTTGAATGTAACACGCGGGCTGGGCGTCCGTCTAGCGCTATCGAGTGCTACTTTGCACTTGAAGAAAATACGCAGAAATTCCAAAAATGCACTGATTTATTATTCATTAGTAGTCAGTTGTCTTCGTGATTTTACAAAGGTAGTATTTATGATGGATTCGTTGTGCTTACCAGATGGCTATTGTTATTCAAAACAAAATAATGTTATTATATAGCAACGGGAAATGACGCACCAACACTTTTTTTTTGTTCCTTTGTTAGAAGAAACTAGTCTGGAAAAGCTTCAGGCCGAACATCTGCCATATGTTTGGCCATCAGATACTGCTGAAGCTGGACCAAACAATGAACAAACGTTTTTAAAAAAATCTACTGATAAGAGTGTTATGGATCTTGAAGATGGTTTTGATACCAGAGAAACAGAGGATAAATTGAAAGAATTAATTGACCATTGAAAGAATTTGGTAGCCGATCCACAACACTTCAAACCAGCTATAGAAGCATTAATGAAAAACCACTACAATAATCAAGTTTATTGCATACTTCTTTTGAAAACACGGAATATGAGCCAAGTCATCCACCAACAACTAGAATGGAAAAGAAGATATCAGTGCAGCCCACAGCAATAGCAAGAAGACATTTGAACTATACAGGTATGAAAATATCAAAAAGATTTTGAGGTATATATCACTAATTTCCATTTTCTCTCGAGGTAAAAGGAGATCCCAAGCGGCTAAAGCTGAATGGGAAGAGAAGAATCCAATTGCACCGCATTCGCTCGACAAATGTGTGAAAGACAATGTAGCATTGGGTGATAGGAAAATAGCGAAATAACTATTTGCTTCATTACTGTGGTACTCACATTTCTTTCAATTTTGTAATAATGAAACATCTTTTCCTAAATAGTTATCCTTCATTCCACCCACTTTGAGAAAACATGGCTTCTTTCCTATTATTGGTCTCTAAGGAATTGCCTAAAACTTTTCTGAATTAAGTTTCGCAAATATCATTACTGTAAAGTAGCACTTGATAGCGCCAGACGGACGTCCAGCACGCGTGTCACATTCAAAAATACGAAGGAGCTACCGAATGGCGATGCCACGAGTTACTTACCTCCATGCGGCCGGCATGTATAGACTAAACGCTATGTGGCCCGGCTGAACGACTATCGGAGCATTACCATGAAGCAGCACCCAGACATCTTAGCACGCCTATCGGCTAACGAAACTAGTCTATTTGATCCCAATCACTCTCCCACACCTATCCCACCCCTCATCCCTCATAGAGTCTTTCACAGAGAATTTTTAAAAGTTGTTTTTTATTTTTATTTTCCAACACAAAAAATGCTAAATTAGAGAGAACAAGGTAGCAATCGACGATCAATCTTTTTTGCCTTGGGCAACTCACTGACAGGAGCGGAATTGAAGGTATACTCCTAGGAGTCTCCCTCACGATTGTCATCAGGGTTATTAGACTAAAATCATCGGCGAGGCCTGCATCGGCCGCCTATGAGGGCTCCCTGGGAGGGTATTTCTGTGCCGTATCTAAGTGTTTTACATTGTATGTTTTATATTTTTATCATGTCCAATGTCCCCCTTAGAAGATTTTTGTTTATACACCTTGTATTGTAAAAATGTTTCTATTGAAAAAATCGAATTGAAACGGCCCCGCTTTGCGTCGCCATGGATTGAGTGTCGATGGCTTGCATGTCGAAAGCAATGCTTTTTTGCTCCATATGAATTTCGATTGATCAGCGCAATTGCTTTGCTTTCATTTAAAATGGGAGCGCCAAAAGCGGCGGCGCAGCAGGTGGTATATAATAGTTCTTACGGATTTTATTGTATTATATACTCATATCCGCAAAAGAAAATTGTGTAAAAAACTGTGTATCTATAATTTGTGATTTTCTGGGGTAGGCAATGCTTTTATGCTTCTATGGTAAGCACGACACTGGTGATTGGTCAGATTTAGGTGAGAATTTAAAGATGAGTGAAATAGTCTTCTCAATATCAAGGATGTTCGATATTTTTCCCGCGTAGCGACACAAAGTGTATTTGGGGGTCATCTTCATGACATTTATTGCATGAAAATAATGTAAATAAGAAGGGAACTTATGTACCTATCTTCTGTGCTTATTTCAGACGTTTTCACGGAATACAAAGGCACAATTATTCATCTTAATAAGGGTTGATAAAGAAGTTTCTCCAACACTTTTTTTTATTGCTAATGAATAAAGAAAGATTGATAGCTGGTTTGAACTCCAACCACACTATACCCTGCAAGCACAAAAACATCTCAGAGAGGTCAGAAGTACAAGGTGTCGAGACATTCAACCTCCACTGCGATGTCACAGAACATGTTTCACAGAACAGCCTAACCTTTCCAAAGCGTTTTGCGCACATCGAATCGCTGCAAATAAACCACCTGGTAGAATATTCTGTTCTGTTTGGGATATTATTACGGCTTATGGACGACACGCCTGGTCATATTCAATTATAATGAATAATACACCTATATATGTATCGTTGCTTTTGTTCGGAGAAAAATAGGAGGTCGTTGGTATGGTAATAATGGAATAATTAAAAAGACGATGCAAACGCGAACAAGAACAACAAAATCGGAAACAAATCAGAATTAATCATATAGTGACGTGAGCATGAGACGTTGTGGTGGGGTAAACAAAGAAATGGCACAGAAGAACAAAATAGTTATTTACACTACAAGGGAGGCAAGTGATACTTACCAGTCGAGGACATTGTTTGCGCCCGAGCGATAGCGAGGGCTTGCAAAATAGTCCGAGACTGGTCAAGAACACTGCCTCCCGAGTTTTGTATTATATTTTTTCTACTCCAGTTCCCTTAGATTAAAAAAAATGTTTTTCAATTACTTATATAATTTGACTAATCTAACTGAAAAACCCTGTATGTATGACAGGTTTCCTAGTGTTACACGTTGATCGCTATGGAATTCATATTGTTTATAATCAAACAAATGTTCTGTCAGTGTCATTTTATTAAAAAAATCGAAATAATGGATATCGATGCAGTTGCGAATGCAGCTTGTGCTGCTCTATTACCTCAGAAATCGAAGGAACGGTACAATCGGTGTTACAAGGACTTCAATTTTTAGGTTAAATTATGAAGTTTATTTAACTTGCTTCCCTAGGGAGGTAAATATTTACTTACCTCCCTAGGGAGGTAGAACGTGTTTTCCTCCCTCAAATCAGTATCAAAATGAAGTACTTACCGAGTAAGGAGTAGAAAAACAATATTATCAATATCCTTCAAAGACATCTTTGAGAAGTGCGTATTACGTGTCAAAAAAATATCCTGATGCCTAAATTCTTAAAACATCCCTAAACATCCCAGGATACCTATCAGTAGGCACACAAAGAAATGCCACAGAAGAACAAAAACAATACTTCAATATCCTTCAAAAACCTCTTTGGGAAGTGCATATTACGTCTCAAAGAAACATCTTCATGACAACATATTCAAAAGATCCCAAAACATCCCAGGGATGTTTGTGCTTCCTAGGTAGCCAGCTGGTTCGAGCTTTCCAGATTACCGGTCTAATTTCTGCTGAGGCCAATCATGTCACAAACCGTGTTGAATTGAATCATTCAGTTTCTCGAGGTCATTCCCTGCTTACCACAATCACGGAATCAGAAAATGTTTCTTAAATAAAAAATAAGTATATCATTTGCAGGTATAAAAAACTGAAATCCGCCGGAACGAAGAACTTGCTAACAGGAGAAACCGAGAAACTAGAAGTCGAAGACGGCAAAATAATATCCCACTGGCACTCAAATGTCACCATCAACCTAGTAACGGACCAAACGCTATGGACCTACGGATCCGTACCGCCTCCGCTCGACCAGTACATCAGGTTCACCGAAGACGGCCACTTCTACAAACCCGTGCTCTTCCCCAACGATTTCTGGAACATGGCCAGAGACTACAAGCCGCTGAACGACAGCTACACTCTGCGAGTTACTTTCCAGCCCCTTTCGCTGTTCAAATGGCAGCTCTATGCTGCACAGCACATGAGGCAGATGTGGAACGTGTGGGGCGACTCAGAACCGGCTCAGTCAGACGAGGAGCAGGACACGCTCAAGGAAACCCTCTTGGACACCAATCCGTATCTCTTAGGCATCACCATTTTGGTGTCGATCGTCCATTCTGTGTTCGAGCTCTTGGCGTTCAAGAACGATATCCAGTTCTGGAATAACAGGAACTCCTTGGAGGGGCTTTCGGTTCGCTCGGTCTTCTTCGGGGTCTTTCAGTCTCTGGTCGTGCTTTTGTACGTTCTCGACAACGAGACCAACACCATGATTAGGATATCGTGCTTCGTCGGACTCGGCATTGAGTTTTGGAAGATATGGAAGGTGGTTGACATTAAGTTTGAGAACGGCAGGTTGACGTTTAAAGATAAGAGCTCCTACGCGGAGTCTAGTACCAGGGAGTATGATAAGTTGGCTTTCAAGTACCTGTCTTGGGTATGCTTTCCTTTGCTAGCGGGGTACAGCGGTTACGCCCTCCTGTATTTGGAGCACAAGGGTTGGTACTCGTTCGTCTTGGATCTGCTCTATGGTTATTTACTCACCTTCGGTTTCATAATGATGACTCCGCAACTGTTCATTAACTACAAGCTGAAGTCCGTGGCTCATTTGCCGTGGAGGATGTTGACTTATAAGTTCCTCAATACTTTTATAGACGACATGTTCGCGTTCGTTATTAAAATGCCGACGATGTACAGGATCGGGTGTTTCCGAGATGATATTGTATTTCTGATATTCGTGTATCAGCGCTGGATATACCCTGTAGATAAATCTAGGAGGAATGAGTATGGGTACAGTGGGGAACCGGAGGACGGGCAAAAAAGTATCGCTGCTACCGAAACCAATGGGACGGTAGAGACGAAAAAGGAAAAGTAAGAAGGTAATGCTGAATACTGTGTGTTGTGTAGTTGCATACGTGTAGTATGAATGCTCTGTTATTCCAATAAAATTGTATTTAAAGTGTTGTAAGCAACAATAAACATTTAAGTTATTGAAGTTATTGTTCTCGTACCCATTAAGTGAACATGGTTTCACAGAAATCTTCTCTTGCAAGAGTTCATTTGGAGCTGACCATTTAAAAGTGATTGCAGTTCCATAATTGGCAAGTGGACTATCATATTCTATTTTTTAAATGAAATCATTACTCATTCATCAATATTGCCACAGTAATTTTCAAACGGCTTAAAATGTACCGTAATAAAAACGTCACGATTTCGTAAGTAGGGGCATACCATAGCACACTTGCCATAAATTGAAATACGAATGGGAACTTTAGAAATATTATTTATTCAATAATTCATAAATTCTCAATCAGTTATAAAAAATCCACTGTCTTGTAATGAGAATTTGACAAACTGAATTTTCCTAAAACCATGTGAGAACATGCGAGTTGTCACAGGGTCTTCATATATTTATTGAACCTCACAGCGGTTGAATAAGGGTTTCATCTATATTTTCCTACCTACTGAAAAATAAATCTTTCCATAGGTCACGTGGGGAAAGAAGAAAAATCGTGTTTTTCAAATGATCTCTCATCATGCTTTTTGTCTTGCTGGGTCTGGAAAATGCTCTGAATCGTGTTATTTGGTAGTGAAATGGGATTTCAACTCGGAATGAAGAAAACGCTAATCATGGAGAAATATCCATTTATTGTTTATTTTTTGTTATGAAAAGTGACGAAACAATTATTTTCATTGTTCAAGCACAGGCATAGGCGTACATTGCATTTTTAACACCTCGTCCTTGAACGGCTCCCGCAACTTTCCAGTCAGCCAGTACGTGGTGATTTCGGAGAATCAATGACAGGCAAGTGGTCAATTTCATCATATCGTTTGTCATTTGTTGAATTAGAAGCTTCTCTATTTGCAAGTTGAACGGTTGGTTAATTGGCATTTTCATCCACCCACTCAACAAATATTCCTCTGGCACTTCTACCTGTTCATGATGTGCATTCACCTCCCACTGGTCATCTTAATCGGAATCGATTTCCAGATTTAATCCTATCTGATCCAACAATTCGTAAATTTCATCTTGATCTTTTTGCAATTCAAAATTCTTGGAATGGAGGACAGTTTTGACACACTGGAATGTTTAAATCAAAATCGATAATGGTCATTGATCCATAGCGGTACGCTCCCGGAGCACACAAATGTGATGGTACACAAGTATGTCCTGAAATCTGATCCCGACAAAAATTTTGGAAACAGCCACTGTGAACCACCATGTTGAATCATGTTTATATTTGTCATTCAATGCATAAAATCATTCACAATATCATATATAATTGATCTTTTTGATTCACTCACCTTCAGGAAACATTTTTCAATGGAGACCAATTGCACCACACATTGATTTATTTTTTTTACGCCGCCTGAAAATAAAATAAGCAGCAAAAGCGGTTTGTTCCGTGCAAATAGAACACTCACAAGTATAGTGGCTGGTTCTCAATCCAGCAGAATGATATTTTGATCCTTATAAATCACTTAGATAATGCCCGTACAATTGTGAGGGTACGGAGGTAAGGGATATTAGATGAAATTCATCAACATCTTGGTCATCCCAAGATCTTTATAGATTAGTCTTCAAAAGTATTTAAGGGCGGAGTGGGTGTTCAGAGTATAAATGAAGTAGAATGAGTATATCTTATTCTTCAGCACAAAAAAGCATCCACGATTTGATTTTGTTAACAACAAATTTTATTTTATTAATAAACATTATTTGGGGCACGTGATAGTTTCACAATATAAAATAACGTCTTTGGTAAAGTAAGATCACGGGTTCAATTTGTTCATCATAGGATATTATTACTAAAAAACTATATTAATATAAATCATTTCAGTACAGACTCTTGATGAATGAATGTATTCTTGATATCATGAGTAGGTATAGGTATAATATGAGAACATATAAATAGTCTTATTATAAATTAATCATAGATAATAATGGAATTCATAACAATTTAGAATATAGCTTTACAGAGGTAACAAGAAACTGTAATAATAACAATGTATAGATTAAAACATCTTAAAAACCTGTTACGATAAAATATCTTATTCTAGTCACACACAGGTATATACAAATAATCGAGATTGATGAATCATTATCATAATTATCATACAATGTGGTAGGCTTGGTAGGAATTATAGGCGACAGTAATAAGTGGCAGAAGTATTCAGGTATCAGCAACAGGAATTTGGAATGAATTATATTTTTTCCACATTTTTTTGGTATCCTCACTATTTTTTTGAGAAGGAACAAATGGAATAATGTTCCGTAAAACGGGGTAATATGGGACTGCAGTGGTTTTATGGGACATAACTTGGTATAGTTAATTCGAAATTGCATCCGAAAAGTGCTATTCAATCGTTATTCCAGGTTTTTTGTGAAATTCTCTCGTTTCTATAAAATAAAAATATGACTGTTATTACGATATACGTGTAGTGAGGATAAACCAGATTTGCCTCACTACACATACAAGGTGTTTTTGAAATAAGTGCACATATTCAGCACATTAAATATGATACAGTCTAAGGAATATTCCCATGATATCAGATTTTTTGTAATTCTTCTAATTAACAAGAAATTTCATCCCAAAAATTGAACAAAATACGTGAAGAAATCAAGTACTCCACTTTAAAACAATTTAAATGATTGAACTCCGCGTGATTGTGCCTACCGCATGTGGAAATTTGAACAGAGGTGACGTCAGATTTGCTCCAGTGTAGAACTTTGGGTGGAAAAAGGGGTCTAACCTCAAATTTTATTTTGATCCCTAAATTTTTCTTATTAGTGCCTTTCGATAGTACACGCCGAGCTTTCTCAGTGTTTGAAATATTTGCACTTATTTCAATGCCACCCTGTATATAAAAAAAATCTCATATTTTCATTTTATAGAAACGAGGAGAGAAACTCCCAAAAATCTGGAATAATGAATATACGGTGTGGGGCATTAGTGCGTCGGAGTTCGATTGCTAGCAACTTGATTTCAAAACGAATGTCAATGAGACAAACGGTCCATCCATAACTAGAAATTATTGCCGCATATACTGGGGGCACCGGAAAGAAAAAATCTGGTGGATCAGGATCATTTCTTTGAATGGAATGCCCTATATATTAACACATTTTTTGAAGCATCCCCATAATATTGTTGAATATATCTCGATAATTTCAAAGTTATTAATTTCTGCAGATCCATACCGAAAAAGTCACTGTAGTCACAATTATCAAATTCAAGAGAGTATAAGCATAATATCTTTTGATGGAAACATGTGTGATATTTCTGTAGACTTTTCATGCTCTCAAATTATACAGGGGGTGGCTAAACATGATTTTTCAATTCGGAACTTTTTGAAGTGATTTTTCTCGAGTTTTCCAAATGGAACACCCCATATATTTTTAGGCCATTTGGTGTAAAATCGAAACACGAAAATCTTTTATCTCAAGATCCATATTGATATTCGTACCCATTTTTGAATTATTGACCTTCGAAAATTATAGGTTGGCCATTTTTATCTATACACATTCTCATCGCAGTTAATAAAACATCAAAAGTCCAATTAATAATTTAGTATACTTGTTTTCTCATTGAAAGAATTGAAACCAGAATGAACGGAATATTTAAATTATTTCGAATAAAAGAAATGCTGTTATCTTCGTGGATGTAATTTGATTAGTGAATTAGCAGTGCAAAAATGAATTTTCCACGCATAATACTTTCTTGAAGTGTACTCGTCGATTTTTATTTTTATCTTCACCACCCTTGATCTCGGAAACGGATAAATTTTGGACTGGGGTAAATTGCTTCAAGTCGGCTTATTATTTTCAAGAATATGTGCTGAGATTTTGTACAGAGCTTTTAGGGACACCCTGTATAATAAATCGTTGAAAATGGATATAAATCGATTCATCCATCACCACACTCCTCAATTTTTTTTTTCATTTTTTGTTATAATTTTGTGTTCCATAAATACCTCCCTTACAATTTATTCGAGTCAGAAAATGAAAATATATTTGTTTAGAATAGTTTAGATGAATTATAAAATGTTGTGTCCAACTTACCTCCCAAACACAAGGTTTAATGCGAGAGATTTTTTTTTTCATTTTTCAATTGTTATAGATGTTATATCGATCATTTCTTTCATAAAATGATCCCCAGACCTGACCTCAGAACAAAAATCTGTTTTTAGACTTAATTTTTCGAAAGTTATTCGAAAAAAATCTCGAAAATCGTCCCATATTATGTTCCCCGTTTTACGGTACAATATAAGATGTTCAAGTTTGTATCAGAATAAGGACTCCAACATCGTAGGTTGATACAAAAGTGATTGTTTTCAAATTTGGCACATGCCTATTACAAGTTAGAAGTTACAGAAATTCATTGGCGCCAATATAGGGGTTAGACAGCTCTTTTCTAGAAATATTTTTGAAAAAGGGTGCGTTGAGTATGTGTCCAAACTTCAAGGGGCGATTTTTTTGGTGTTTCTAAGACGATAAGTTCATATGACCATAGCTATGAAAATGCATAATTTTCAGGATAGACATCTGCATCTTTTTTGAAAAAAATTGGTTTTTCGTAAATCTAGTGAGGGCTTGATTAGTACCTACTTTTTTACTACTACAAATAACACTGCAATATTTCAACGATATTGGATCAGAGATTTTTGCGACACTACGGAAAAGCGATTTTTGTTATTTCTGGACCGGACTTTTCGAGTCGTTGGAATCACTCGAAAAATCATCAACTCTTGAATTTTGCCCACATACTTAAATAAGAATAATACCCTACAGAATATACAGGAAATGAAAATGACCTCCAACTCTGTTATCGAGACTAATAAGTCTCGTGTAAAAAGTAAAATTTGCGTTCGTCTTATTGGGTCGCTATCATAATAACCATCAAAAGTAAAGGCTTCTTGCACTATAACATTTTATGATCCTATGGCGTTGAGAGAATTAGAAAAAAAGTTTAAACATATAAAAAAATAGCCAAAAGATAGTGCAATATTATTTTTCTACAAACGTCAAAGTGACAAGGTTCGCGCAGTGATAACAAATCGCGAAGTGACACTTCGCGCATTGTTATGTAAAATATATCAGATATTTATATTTTAACTTGATGGCCCTCAATCGAGCAAACATACAAGAAATCATTTATTTCTGAATGATCAACAATAACTTTGTTTCATCTCTTGGAGCGCACGAAAGAAAATTCCTATTATGTTCGTGGAACATGGTGCGTACCTAGGGAGGATAGGGGGAGGCCTTTTAAGCCAGTTCAACACTATTTTTCATATCAAGCCAAGCATATTTTTACTTTAGAACTATATTTTTTGACGATTCTAGAAAAAATTTTGTTTGCAACTCGAGCGCGAAATACTTTGGTCATCTAGACTATTCTTTTAACTCGGCTACGCCTCGTTAATAAAATAGGATCTTGATCACCAAAGTAGCATTTTACGCTTAAGATACAAAAATAACTATTATTGCATGAAGACTTTCATACATGAAAAGCAACCCGACATTTTTTGATACCAACGGTATTTAAAAAGAGAAAAAAGTTTGACCCAATCATAGCCAATACTTATATAATTCCCATGCATAGGCCGTAACTGGCAATTCCATTTTTTATTTCAAATTATCTGAACGCCACTGGATTATACAGAAAAAAGTGTCTTGAGAATGTGAAAGTAATTTTCTCTGAATCTAAAATTAATAGAAAACGAAAAACGATAGCAAAAATCTTCGTCCTTTCCATTTTTTATCTCCTATAGTTACTGAGCCATCTAACTATTCCCTTCCTCTTGCTTAGTCATGGGGTAAAAGGATATTTTGAAAAATAACTAGGTATACTATTGTATATGGTTGGCCTACCACTTGGCGCTGGATCAGACAAAGGGAACAAAACGTAGGGTAGACAATCATAATCATCTATACTACCTCCGATAAGATCAAATTACAACGAGTATCCTACTGAAATGTGGTGTTCAAGAGGTTTTTGGAAAGGCATTTGGCGAGTCGGGTGGGTGATGGTCATCCTGAAAAAAATGTATACGAGGTGATCACAAAATCTTGAATTAAAGTATTCATTAATTTGTTGCATTAGGTATGCATACCAACCCATATATAGCACGAGTACGTCCCCAAAACGTACTGAGAACGTCAGGACGAGACGTTTCGTGTACGTACTGGGGACTTCCAGATTAGGACCGTAGACGTACTATAAGTACGTCCAGATTCCGCGAATTTGTACATCCCCCGTACGTCCATTCAGGACCATGGATATACCTGAATCATCAACGTAGATCCGGCTTATTTTACTCAGACGTCACAATATGTCAGGGGGACACAAAGCATTAGTGTGTGAATTTTATTAATTTTATTCTTTCTAATTCATCTGATGGTGATTTTGTCGAACTCGTACCTATATAGTTTTCATAGGTATGTATACGTTCCGATATAGCACACATACAATAGATATCCGATGGATGTTCAGTGTCCACAATGGACATTACGAATATCCATTGGAAATACGATTAGGTCCAGGGGGGCATCCAAAGGATATTCATCGGATATCTATCGGATATCCATTTGCCACATCCAATATTTGTCCATTTCGATCCAGGTGATAGACATATCTTAAAAGAAAAAAAATATGGCGTATGGAACTCGTACCCGCGATCTCTGACTCATCCAGCAGGTACGTTACTTAGATTATTCACTGTCCATTATGCTTCTTGCTTACTTATATGATCAGAATATTCATAGATGAACAATGATCCTCATGGATTATCATGAGATTACACATCAGTCTAATAATGGATTTCAAATACTTTATTTATTTTTATGAACACACTGAATGCTGAGCCGTATTCACGACTCCGAATAGACATTTCATTCAAGAGGGCATATTTCGCAGTTCCCCTGTTATTGAAATAGGTACCGCTCCGAAACTTTTGCTGCCTTCAAATTTTTTTCCTTTATATCACATGAAATTGAAAATATAACGAATTCACTTTTCGAAATTGAAAGAATTAATCGATTGTCAAATGTAATATATCGTGTGGTATATTTCTATTCGACCAAAGGAAGTCCAATGAACGTCCATCATTCAATTAAATCTCCACGTTCAGTATGGACGAAACCTGAATGTCCATAGTGAATTTCTCTAAACGAATGTCAATTGTTCCGCAGTGGTTAATGTCCATTAAGCGTCCATGTACATCCTATGGATATTCATAGGATATCCTGTGTTTACTGGGTTGCTGCTGAGTGCATGTATCAATGAGATATTTCAAGTACAACTTATATATATGTATATGAGAGGCGAACTTCAGGTATAGATACCTAAATCCAATCATTTTAAAGACAAAAGAACCAATTTAAAGTCTTCTTCATACTATTCACAATGCATGAGTCAACAAACATATCATATATATAATATATGAAAGATGTATGTAGGATATTCATTACAATAGCCGACAATGTTACATCATATAACGTCACTGACAGTCCTCTACAACAGCGGTTCTCCACATTTGTTACAGGTGGTACATACAGGGTGTTTTATTACTAGGTAATCGGATGAAATATTTCATATATAATCCAGAGCTCAAAATGTCTCTCTAGTCTGTTTTATTATTTATTATATTCAAGAATTTTGAAATCATCACATGACTTTATCGCTATGTAGGAATTGTACGATATTTACGTAAAAAATATTAGAGAATCGAAAAATAGTGATATCAACCGAAATTAGTGAATATTTACCTGAGAAACAATACTGGATCTATTACTGGTCAAGCCAAAATCACCCGTGAAGGGAGTATGAAGAGTTGTTTCGGTGGCAACTGCTTCGTGTAGATCATTGCTCATGCTCAGATCAACAGAGGAATCGCTACAAAATGAAATATCATTTATTCCAATGAAAATATCACACCTAACATGTTCGACCAATTAAATGTTGATTTTTGGGAAGAAACCGGGAATAATGAGACACAATAGCTCTCCTGTGAAACTCAGTAAAAAGATTGCATTTTATTTCTCTAGAAAGAGATACACATACTTGAAAGAGTGGATCTGAGAAATACGGTACCAATACGTCGATTACGTCGAATTCATTCAATAAGTTGATATATAAGGTGTAAAAAGATATATTTCTACCAACTTCTGCTAAATGAATTTGTAAAATCTGAGAGATTAGGCTACCTACTCTATCGACTCATTTTATATTATTTCATTTAACGAAAGTCGTTTAATCATATTTTATTCAACATAATAATTTAAAGTGAGCAAATTTCATGGAATGAATACAAATTGCTCGAAGTCATATCATAAAATGAACAACAATGGTAGATTTCGGGAGAAAAACAACTACTTTCCTGGCTAATGCCACGCAGAACATTGAATTACATCCTCCCGAAATCTATGCATCGACTCGTATAAACGAATACTGATACACGTGATTCTTTCCTGAATGCCTATTGATTTCGATTTAGCCAGGCCACGCTAGACACCTACAGACCGGTTTCGAGCTCTTTGACTCTCATCAGTGCAGAGCAGTCTCCAGCCAGCAGTCCTGAGACCGCCGACTAAGCGTATATAGCCTAGCCAAACAAAAATCGAGTTAATCTATGGTAAAAGTCCATGGTATCTCAAAGTGGAGTGGATAGATCCATAAGCAAGACAAGAGATGAATTATTAGTGTGTCTTGCTTTCGAGAACTCAACGAGGTTTCACGATATTGTCATTCCAAAAAATATGGAGATAATATACGAGGTTTTTTTCTTCGCACAAGACTACGAGATTTTCGTTGCACAATAGATATTTTTTCTCAAACAGCATCAAATAGTGATTGTAAAGAGTACGAAAGAATATTATATTGTTTAACGAGCACTGTATGATAGTTATTCACACGAGATTGAAGAGAAGAAGAATCATACGAGTGTGACATTAGCATTACGTGCGAGTTATACACTATACTTTTTCTACGGCTGTAACAGATAACAGCGAAATTCTGATTCTTTCAAGTGATGCTCATCTATTAGACAGAGTTGTCATTGCTTGAAATTTGACATTTCATGGGAGATGAGATTTTGTGAAATAATAACACAATGAAATCATTGTGATATCAGATAGGATAATAAAATTGATGACAAACAAAGTACCTTATTGACAGTAAAACAAGAGCAATTTTTTGTTATAGTCATAGAAGAAAGTCATACACTCACTAGTCACTACTCACCTTATTATACTCCTATTACAATCCGATACTGAGACATCGAACAATCGTATCCGATTATTCAAATCAGGGCCTGTCTTATCTTCTTCCCTGTTACCATCCGCCAACAAGGGAAGCTCGTCTTCATGCACTAGCAACTGCTCCTTGTTCCTTTTGTCCTTGTCCTTAACTATAAATCAGACGTTCAAAAGAAGGCATATCATATCGATAAGAATAACTATCAGTGAGAGAAGAACTCAGTTATATTGACACAACATATCCAATAAATTGAACAACAATAGTCAATAACGAAAGAAATTCAACTACTAATTCGAAGGCCACGTAGAATATTGAACTTTCTGTTGGAATCTATGCTACGATTCGGATAAATGCCAAATTGTACTTGAACTGAAGTCAGGTACTGCCTGCCAGTAGGGGTAGCTGTAGTTGAGAACATCCCCTCTACTCCATTTTTGTCGACCAATAATCAAAGGCAGCCACTTAGTTCGAGGCCTCGCCCTCTCTTGAATGATGGAGAATTCCAGACAGTCTGTACGTGTATGAGTGACGGCCTCTGATTGTTCGACGAAAAGTGGCGAGGAGGGAATAGTTTCAATTCTGGAGACATCTACTGTATTGATGTATTGAACATTCAGGTAAGATTATTTATATAGTCACATTCGAATTCACCGCTATAACATAGATGAAATAAACCTATGGCACTTCAATCCTTTCCTGTTTTACAATTCCTTGATTTTCGCCTACTTCGCTAAACATAACATGACGTGGGTGAATCTCACTAAGTTTATTCTGATGCCGTACCAAAATTACAGGAATCAATGTGACAATTGTGACCGAATTATGATGTAGATAGGGAATACATTTTTCGATTTAGCCGCACTAGAAATCACGCCCCACGTCATTGTCTGAAATTCAATTGTTTATACCAAGAACCAGTCTGACGAAATTAATTAAGAATCAGCGCACCAGAGGTTTATTTCATCAATGATATAACCGTTCTGATTGATCGTGGACGAATGCTTGGGCAGGTAAAACGAATAAGTGCACCCTGCTTTACGGTATGGTGGAACGGGTTGAACCGGTTGAACCCTTCGAAAAATTCTTACCTATGGCTTCGTGACACTCGCATTTACATTCCTCAGGATTCACGTAGTTGTAGATGACGCTGTCCTGTAGCACGCTTTCCGGCACCTCAATGTGCCCAAGCGACGGGATTGTCTGGATGCGTTTAGGGGCTTTCCTTTTTTCTGGAATGCTGTCCACGTTGACCCACGCCTTTTGGGCGCTCTTGGGTGGCAAAGGGGGCGGCGTTTCATTGTGAGTAGAACGGGAAATTCCCCTTTCTGCGAAGTCCGTCCAGGTCGTGTTGGAGCCCTTTCTGGATTTGGTTTTGTCGAATGAGTCGTTTCTTGGTAGGGATATCTTGATCTTGTCGATGCTCTTTCTGTCCTCTTCCAAGCTTCTTGGTCCTCTGACCTGTAGGTAGGTAAATCATGTTGTACCCCTCGTTGGGCGCCAAATCTTTTGTTTCAGCTTATACAGTGTGTATCAGTCAAATGAAATAAATTCAATAATTAATAAATAGGGGCGTGTTCGGTATAACGCTCGGACACGTTGATTGATATTTTCAGAAGCGCATCCTTTCCAACAAATAAACGTTTTTGTTGGAAATGATCTCAAGTCGCCAAATTTTGTTACCATTGCTATCAAACTACTATATTAGTCCGCGCATAGTTAAAAATTAACTTCGTCAATGGTTTGTGGTGTATTATTTTGTGCCTTTATAATACCGTATATACAGTAATCCCAACTTTACGAATGCCACTGAATGACTCAGGATTTTTTCAACTTCATCTTTTATAGGTTATTCTAAGACGCCATTATGACGTATTAATATGTAGTCTTGTAACTGTGACATTTTGACGTCATTATAGGTTCTCTCAGCCGTCCATTTTAGGACATCCACTTCATCACTTTATGACGCCAATTGCACGTCACTCTGCCACTTGGGGGGAGAGGATGAGGTCCAGTTCCTGTATCACAAAACTTCAAAATGGAATAGATTTCTCATATTCATTACACGATGTTTTCTTGGTGTAATTTCCGTGCAACATTGCAACTTGCCCGATGATAACAAGTTCTTTCAACTGAGCAGTCTGCTTACAATAATAAATGTTCATAATAATATTCCATCTTGTTTTGTAATAATATCTATCCTACAAGAATTCCGAGAGAGAATTATTTTCATACGTACATACATACGTTGCCTAACTTCCATTTAAAATTCAAAAGCACTAAATGGATCACCCTTTATATAGAATGCTGTGAAACCAGCATGCAATATATAACCAGTAGCAGCTACTACTGATGCTAGGATGATCATTTTTTTTCATTTTCTGGATGGATTCTAATATTTATCCTACATTCAATCAAAACTATATGTTGTTTTTGGAATTTCATGCATTCGGGGTAAAAAGACACACAAATCATTAGAGTAAAATGGCATAATATAGTATGTCAGATCTATTTGAAGTCGACTCATACGAAGACGAAATTCAGCTTGCTTCTATCGAAATTCATTATTCTGAAATCCAGAAGTGGATGAAAATGGTTCAAATGTAAACACTGGACCCTCTGTGAGTGTGCCAATGTTCCAGGAGGACGAAAAATCTTTAATTGTGAAGTTTGATGCCGTTAATACAGCAAACACAGTTACATCATAGAAATGCAACAATGGGGGGGAGACCACTGATTTTTTAAAACGACATTATCGTGAACTCTATACTGAAAAACTACCAGTGAATTAATTTTGAATTTTTTCATTCATGCCACGACCATGAAAAAAATAAATTAGAATATGTTCATTTCAAAACACATAATTCCTGCGCCATTTGAATTTTTGTCAATTCATTGGTGTGACTGGTGCGACGTCTTAGTCCCAACACTGTCATGTCACAATCATGATTCGTCGATTGAAAGAGGTTTGCACGGATTTTTTCCCTCAGTGGTATTCCCCATTGTGACCTGTGATATCGCATTCTATGTGCATAGACGTCGCTGCGATGTCAGAGGGATGTTATTTTGTCTCACTCGTGTTATCGCATTGTTGTCTCATCATGACATCTCAAAGATGTCATGTCGCAGATGTGTCTGCTTCTGTATATCGCAGCTATGTAACTTTCGTAATATCTCAGTTTTGCCTTATCGCGATCTCTCAGAGATATGCTGCAAATGTGTGTGCTTATGAACATCGCAGCGATGGAACGTTTGTGATATCGCACTGTTACCTAAACGCGACATCTCAGAGATGTCAAGTCACAGATGTGTTGGCTGTGTAATTTTTGTTTTCAGATATTTCACTGAATTAGCCCCATTTTAACTTTGAATTAATGATTAATCTAACACCTCATCGTGTTTCCGCTTATCATCTACAAGTGTGTCATTTCACCCATATATAAACCTAAAGTGACATAGTTACACTCCATTTTTCATTTGGAGATAAGCTAGAGAAATGTTCAATATAATAATAACATTTTTGAAATAGACATGCTTCTTGACATGATAACTGAACAATATGCTGTGCAAATAGTTAGCTTTAACAAATTTTTCTGCTCTCTATGTGCCTAAATGCTTGGGGTATGTCAATTTAGGCAGAACTTTCCTACACACACATAGGACACATACCTCGCAATACTCCTCCAAACAATTCGGATTCATAGGCGTGGTGGACTTGGGCCGTTCGATGGAAAACGTCTTCACCTCGTAGGCGGATCGTTGCTTTATCGGAACAATCGGCACCGCCGCAGATCGCTCCAGCGGCAAGGTCGTCGGAATGTACGGCAGCTCGTCCTCGAACGAGTCCTGCTGGAAAACTATAGCTTTCCTTTCTGGCTCCAGGACGTCCAGCTCCAGCTTCAGGTGCACATCGTTCCTGGTTCTGGACAGCTCCAGGGGTTCACGCTCTGATCCAGACGAGTTCTGATCCTCTTCGGGGTAAGGTGCCATCGCATTGCCGTTGCTCATTTGGTCCACAGAGACCTGAGACAGGCGGTTTTGTTTGGTTCTCGAAGTGTCTTGTGGTCTAGTGGACTCGTTCGAATCTTGCTTCTTGATGACTTCATTGGTGCTGTGTTTCTTTTCATCGTTGGGACTGACTTCAGTCTTCACTTCGCTGGTGTGCTCTGGTTTATTGAGGTCCAATGTTAATTTTTCTATCTGGGAGTTTATTGCTTCTATGCCGTTGATCTTGGTCTCTTCTTCCTCTTGGTTCGACAGCTTCTTTGGGAGTTTGGTGCTGAACACTTCGTTACTGCCTAGTTTCGTCGAGAATACAACATTTTCGCTAGTTGTGCTATCTTGTCTACTGTTTTGTTTCACAGCCTGTGTTTTATCGATTTCTGCTGATTCGATGACATCAGCGTGTTTTGTAGGAGCTTCTATCACCGTTTCCTGGGAGTCTTGGCTTGATGTCTTCCAGTCGTGCATCGTTCGATTTTCGTAATATGTGGGTGAGTGTAGCGGAATCCTTATGCTAGCCGATTCTAGAGGATTTTCATAGAAAGTTTTACGTTCGTTACATTTATATTCTACTTTTCCAGTGCCTTCCACGATAGGAACATTTTCTTGAGAGCTAGTGTCTGATTCATACTTTATTCTGTCTTTTTTGGAGGTTTTGAATAGGGAGAGCACTGACTTGTGTTTGGATTTGCTGTCGATGCTTTCTGTGGAGGAAGGTGCTGGTGATTGCGAGGATTTGTGACTGTCCCTGTCTCTACTCTTTGATCTACTTCTACTTCTAGTTCGTAGATTGTCGCCGACTTCTTTCAATACACCTGCCAAAAAAGGAACAGTGAATTGTACGACTCTCGTTGAACAATTCAATTTTAATGAGATATTCAACAAAAACAAATGAATGTAGAGTGTTTTCGATCCTCAAAAGTTGCAAAATAACGAATTTCGGAAAATAGCACATCATATATTAATCAACGACATATTACGTTCTCCTCCAGTCAATGGCAACCAACGAAATTCATTTTGCAATTTACCTATTGTCTATACAATCAAAACTTCGAACTCTAGAGGTAAGGCCAGGAGATACATTATGAAACAATAGGACTTTTTCGTTGCTAACCAATTTTTTTATATTCCAACCTGAGGTCAGAGATTTCATCATTCGGAGCGAGAAAAAAATTGTTCAAAATTTGATATAAACGATTTTTCTAATTGCAACTACGCTATACCAACTGATGAAGGATTGGACTGTCGTAGATTATTAAGATATAGCGATCATGCCAGAACCGTAATAACAATCAATGAAACGTTTGTTCAATCGTTGATAGGTACTTCCTCATTATTTTGCAACTTTTATGTAGGCGATGTTTAGTGAATGAGCATATTCTTGAAAATCATACAGGGTGTCGCTAAATGGTCTTTATGAAAACATACCGCATATTCCTCAGAACAATACAATCCGATAAAATTACCTCAAGACAAATATCCTTAGTTTAGGCGCTAGACGGCAGGTATAATTCTCAATTCATTTTTGCTTTATAAATAAGTTTGAAACGGCTCAAGAGATTTCACTCAAATTCGGTATGTTGGTATAGCTTCATTGGACAACAAAACCCATATCATGATCATGATACCATTCGATGGGCGTAGAACTTAATTTTTTCAGAAAATAAACATCTGCTTTTACGCCAATGAAAAAAAAGGGGTTTCAATATGAGATTTGGATTGCGTAACTTGATTACTGATATACAAAAAAGGTATTCCTGATAAATCAACTCCTACACGGAAAACGCTATTTGACGACGACGTGAGTCATTTTGACATCGATAAAAAGGATGTACCTTTTTTATCGCTGATAAACTGCCTGCTCCTTTGATCTAGTAGCTATTTGCGCCTGATGTCACTCCAATTTCTGTCGTGTCAAGTTTGATATAATATGATGATATATGGTTCACGCGTAAACTAGCAAGATGAGCCGTTTTAGAAAAATTTCGTCTAAAGAAACCACGAAAATGGGAGAAAATCAATTCCGCAAACTACCAGTTACACGGAATTATCAATAATGGTAGGGAATCATTATTGTTGTTTATTTGAATATTGTCGATGATTTAAAAAAAAGCTCTTGTGTTTTCACTGTTGGTAATTTTTCTGTAAAAAATGAAGCCCCTTATATCTATTGACAAAAGTCACTCAGTTTCTTCATTTGAAACTATGTAGACATCGTTGAAAACGAATCAATGTAGATATTGTGCCTAGTTTCCGAAAATGAAGTTTTATCGAACCTGTCCACAGGTATAACTAATCCTTCAGGTTGGGAAAGTAGGATATATAAAAGTTAAGCAAGCCAAGGTTAGTCTAGTTCATTGTACCAGTATATCACCTGACGAAGTTCCTGTGTTAACGAAACATGTCGTGTTTGTGAGAATTATGTAGAAATCTTATCGTTTGTGAAGTTTTTACATTTGCCATGGATTTCCATCAAGTAACGGCAAAGTCAATACAAAAAAATAACAACTCTCTGGTAGGGAGATTATAAGTGAGAATATTCTGAAACCGAAAATAATAATGCCGCTCGTAAATTTCGTGACCAAATAGTTCTCACCTGTAAGAGTGTTTTTTCTTTTATCGCACATTACGGATGGAGACTCCGGGCTCATTGCACCCTTTCCCTTGAACAGGGATGCAAAGGAACTCCGTCTGGATACCGATGGAGATGGACTTTCGACCTTGGTATCTTTGGAAACGCTATTCGTTGGTGCTTCCACACGTTTTTCCGCTCTCGAAACAGCGTTGCTGTTACGAGATTCTTCCATTTCACGCATGAACTCGGTGGTGGTCTGAATTTTGTCCAGATCTAGATCCAAATTTGGCTTAGGTACCTATAGAAGAAGAAACGAAGTCGTATAATGCCGGGTTTTCAAGCGGACAGGACAAAAACAAAACACGAACTCGGTCCGTTTGTGACTGTCCGCGAACTGTTCTAGGACTTTTGGAGCGTTAACTAAACTTGTTAGTCCGCGAATAGGGTTTTCACGAACACAAACAGTGTCCTGGCGAATGTCGGTAACTTCAGAGGGTTTAGGTGTTCTAGGAATGTTTGTCAGCTTGGTGGAAACGTCTTGACATTTGAACCAGTTTGTTTCTATTTTCGTTGTTGTGATTTAGTGGTAGTCTGATTTAGTGCGTGAAGGAAACAAGTCGCAAAATGTCTGATGTTCTTAAAACCTGATCGAAGTTCACCTCCTATGCTTATGTCATCTTCTCTCAGATCTTGCAACATGTTAGAAGTCACATTTTCATCTTTTCGCCTTAAAGTTGGCCTAATCTAAAATCGACGTTTACTTTTGTTCTTTCTTATCATGAAATATGTAACTAGCAAAAATAAATCCTCGTCATCTCGTTCCCTCAAATTTGCTGCGCGCCACATTTTCACAACTGCACGTCCGGTGTCTCTATGTAAACTGAATAAAACTCAACCAAAACACAATAGTAGATTGTTTTATTAGGATCAAAAGTGACACTTTGTTTGACAAGCGAATTTTGCATTTGCGAGGCGGAGCGTTTAGCGAAGCCGAGCGAAAGCAAAATTTGCGAAACTAAATATGTTGCCTAGCAACATAACTATTTTTGTGACAGTAATAGAAACGTCAATTTAAGAGCTAATTTTGGTATCAAAATGGACGACATTTGTGTCGGTTGCAGAAAAACAGTTTTTATTGATTTATGTTCGTGACTGGTGTAAACAGAAAGTCCGTTGGGGACCCAACAGTGTTCAAACACTTTCAGAACAAAAGCTGTTCGAAATTTCTGTTCAAATGGACAGTTCGTGTTTTGTTTTTGTCCTGTCCCGCCATAAGGAATGGCCTGGTGAAACGAAACACAGTCTTGAAATCCAGTGTCGTTAGAGGTTTCAAAGCTTCAGAGAGAACTGTAGCTGGTGTGTCTGTGTCTGGCCCTAAATTAAAACAAATTGGAATCAATAGGAAATATCTACAGCTCCTTCAAGGCAGGATTATTCGCTCCAGAGGCGTAGCTTCCGCCGTATCAGCCGTAATCAATGATACGGGGCCCTTGGGCCACAGGGGCTCCGACTTATGTGATCAAAGATTCGTAAAATGATATCGACAATCTTACTCAAACTATTAGGTCGTAGACTTGGTGAGATGGAGCTGCCTCAGGCATTGATGTTGCCGACTGTACCCTAAACTTAAGCAGGCGCCAAAAATTTGGCAATAACACTGGATGTCTTAGATTTCCAACCACGCACGTCAGTAGGCATCAGTATTACAGAATTGTAACTCAAAGTCGATATGTTGGTACTATTGTTGTTTAGATATATTAATTTCTCCAACTAAACAAATATTTCAGGGCCTCTGTGACCTGAGTAATACGTTAGAAGTGTTACAACTGATGGAGAAACTCTTATCGTTTTTAGAGGCAAAAATAAAAATGGAAGTCGGAAAACTGTCTGCTTTATATTATTTGAAGATATGTAAATATAGGTCAGTTGATTTGCATTGGCATCATTCTTTAAATTTGAAATTCAGAAAATTCAATAGCCTTGCATGAAGTTATCTAGAGGGGTTAACAGCATTTTTCCTGTTTTTACCCTTCCTGGGGTCAACTGCAATAGCTGAAAGGAGCTTTTTGAAATAAAAACTGATGGAAAAATATCTTAGGACTTCGATAGGATAAGAATGGACGACTTGTCAGTAAGGAAAATCTCGAAAAATCTTCAGCTATAGATGAGTCAATAGATAAGTTTGCTGAAACCGAAAAGAGGCGACAAAAGTATATATTCGAAGGTTTTCTTGGCTTATTGGCTCCTAGGAGCAATAATTGTAAGTGATTACTCATAATAATTAATATATATTGAAACAGTTTTAATCTTCTCCTGAGGATGCTAACATAGTTAGCGAAACACGTGTCGAGCTGTAAAAAATCGGTTTGGTTAGTGGAAAAACAGTTTGTAGTGTATTATCGTGCCAAAGGTTCCAGTCTTGGATATATAATGAATATCGAAATGAAAAACTTTATTTCAATACATACCTCGTCAGGCGCTTCATCCGAATAGCACCTATCCGGTTTCAGCCTGATCCTGATGTATTTCGCGTCTTCCTGCTTCCTCATAGATGGAGGTGGGGTAGATGAGGCTGATTTACACCTTGTCTCAGGCTCCACATTCTTCGACCTTCCGCAACACAAGAGGTTCAATATTAGCCATGCAGAACACAAGAAAATACTAATCAGCTATTATACACCATCAGAGCAAAATCATCATATTACCTGTTGGGTGTCGGAGTCTTAGACTTGTAGTTCAACGACTTGACCTCTCTCAGTTTCTGGTGCTTGGCAAATGTGACGGAGTTTTTGGAAGTGTCCAAGTCCGCTGGCAGAGGACCCTTCAGAGGAATGTAAATGTATTCTACACCGCTGTCGGCGACAATTCTACTACTTGGTCTTTTTGTGTTATTGCTTTCGGTGGTAGGTTTGTCTAACGTTATGGTGACATCACATTTCGTTTGCTTGAGGCTCTCATCTGCCTTGGCGAGTGGTGGTTTAGTGGACGACTTTTCAGATTTTGTTTTCACTACATTGATACCTGCAAGAAGTAAGGAGAAATGCTTTCAGAGCTCTGCAGTTTTTGGGGCGGATGCTGCGTGGCATTTTATGTATACATACTGAACTAGGGGAGGTGTGGAAGGAGAGGTAATTTATTAGGACATATAGGAACGAGCCATGTTGGTCCATCTATCACCTTTAAATTAAAAAATGTTGCGACAAGCTCTAAATATAGAATGAAATTCGATGTCGAATGTCCCATAGAACTTCATTTTTGTTTCTTTAGACTTTCTAGCCAAGTGAAAGTTATTGTATATTGATTTAAAAGGGAATATTTGTTTATGTCCATAAATTCTGAGATCTGACTAAATCCTGTAGTACCTTGATGGAGTTCCACTTTGACGCTGCTCCGACTACCATCAAGTGCCCTATTGCCTAATCTAACTTTGCAAAAGGTCTAAGAAAACATAGTTAAGGATTACAAGTGCCTTTTTTTCCTTGGATGCTGGTCCTGTCACCGGCTACACCTCAGCCTCCTGGGCTTTTTGTGCATTCCAGTTTATTTTACAGAACCCATTCCGTAGCTCTTATTCCCTGCACCAGTCTGTACAGGTTCTTCATCGGTTGGCTGTTGTATTCTTCGGAAGTCAGCCTAGGCTGCCCGAATATTTCTTGTCTTTTGCGATCCAATGCCTCGCATTCTATTAGTAAGTGTTTGTACAGTCTCATTTCATTCAGGTGTCCTCTCGTTGGGCTGTGACCAGTGAGAAGTCCCGTTATTGTTCTGACTTGGTTCCTACTCATCTCGAGTAGTTCTTCAGATTCATTTTTCGACGGTTCTTCAATGAATACTTTCTCGTGGTGCATGTGAGGGGCTTCAGACATCGCTCCTTGTGTTTGCGCTTGATCAAGTCCCGTATGTAGCCTCGGGTATCTGTTTTTGTAACCCCGAGTACGGGTTCTGGTCCAATGTATGGAGTTGATAGACCGGTTCTTGCCAGTTCACGTTCAACGTGTCCCCAGCCAAGTCCCCGCGAGCACAAACATCCCTGGGATGTTTTGGGATGTTTTGAAAATGTTGGCATGAAGATGTTATTTTGGGACGTAATATGTAATGACCAAAGAGGTCTTTGAAGGATATTGAAGTATTGTTTTTGTTCTTCTGTGGCATTTCTTTGTTTACCTACTGAGAGGTATCCCTGAGATGTTTTGGGATGTTTTAGAAATGTAGGCATGAGGATGTTTTTTGAGGCGTAATATGCTCTTCCCAAAGAGGTCTTAGAAGGATATTGAAAGTATTGTTTTTGTTCTTTTGTGCCCTTTCTTTGTTTGCCCCACCACAACGTCTCATGCTTACGTCACAATACGATGAATTCTGATTGGTTTTCGATTTTGTTCTCCTTGTTCGCAATTGGCATTCGCGTTTGCAGCGTGTCACGCTTACATCACGCTGCTAACGAACAGAAATTAATTTGGTGAAGTTTATTGTGTTAGAAGACTTATTTAGTTTGTAATAATAACCATCAGATGGTGCAAGATGTGTTGTTCGGTGCCTCAGTGTAATCAATATATAAAAGTACGAATTCATCAATACACAGTTTCTCCGCAGTTGCAAAATTATGCATTGTGGAGAACATTTCAAAAATTGGGACACCTTTTTCCAATTATATGTCTGTGTGTAGTAAGCACTACTCAGAAACCGATTAAGAAGGTCATTTCATATCAAGAAAATATTTTTATGTTCAATCTATTTTTAATGCATTCCTTCATTCAAGGGAAATGGAATCCTAATGCAAAAGTTCATTTTGACAAAAGGCTTCAGAAAAGTACCTCGAAAATGTTTTTTTACAGCGATTTAATGTGTGCAAGACGCGTTGAAAATGTTCTGTTGTGTCCATGAAAAGGCTTTAAAAAGAACTAGGGAGAAGGTAGTTTTGTGACATATCAAGGACATCTCGATAATTGCCGCCTGTGGCGGACATTGGCTGTTCTATAATAGTTCTATTCATGTGTGAACAGATTATCGCAGTGGAGGTTCAATGTCTCGAAATCTCGTACTTTTAACATCTCTGAGATGTTTTTGTGCTCGCTGGGGTACAATCCTTCCGTCTTACACTCAAACCGTCCAGATCTATTGTGTCTGCCATCAAAATCGTATAGAGTTTTCAGAGACAGAGATCCCAAATATATAGATCTTCTTTATATTTGGGAGCTATTGCTTTTTCATCTCCTTCCTTCCTAGCTTTAGGAAGTTTAATCTTGAGAAGCCTTCGAAGTGTCAAAGAATAACTACTGCTGTTTCAATCTTCCTCCTCTTCGAAGTCGAACACCCATCCCAAGTGGAAGGTAGTATTCACTCGAGTAGATAAAGGGTCGCTTTGGCCAGACATCGAGACCTCAACGTCGGACACCCGTCCCAACTAATAGGTATTTAATTGTATGCTTATAGGCCACGAAGTAACAGACTGAGATGGTAACGTGTCTGGCAATGGACTAAAATATAAAAAATTACCCTTCATAGTATGACGAGAGTAGGTTGGTATTTTCATCACCTTTGCTTCCTGTTACCTGGCAAAGGCACCATGACCTAAACTTAATATTTGCCCACCGTTCTTACTCGTGTTGGGAGCTTGCGCTTGCTTGCTTTCTGCTTTTATAAAATATATAAAACTAAAGTCTGGCATTCATGGGATCTTGCTCACCTTATCAAATGCTTTTGCTATGTCAAGCAGAGCAAGATGGGTCTTTTGTCTACCATTTCTCAACGATATTATGTTCTTAACTTACCTTCAGCCAGGATGGCTTGCGTGGGGTCGTGCTTCCTGGCCAGCAGGACCTTCTCCATCACCTCCGCTTCGACTTTGGTCCCGTTGCGATCGCCCTCGCTCTTCGGCCCCCCGGAAGGCTTGGTGCCGCAGAAGGACGTCTCCAGGAGCATCTTGTGGGGCGACGAGGCTCTCGAGATACCTGATTGGCCCGACACGTCCGAGGGCTGGCTCACGTTGGACAGGCGGCTTTGATTGGAACCCTGACTGCCTATGCTCGATAGTCTGGATACAATACAGAGTGTTTCAAAACTCAAAACCTTTTAGGTCCTACTGTATCCTGTGGTATAGAAAGGAAATGCAACACCTGGTATATGGATTTTATGATAGATATTATTAAATTGATTGCTTGATGAATAAAAACAATGACTTCCATAGCTAAACAGTTCGCATTATCGACCCAATTAAATAATGAAAATATGCCAGTTCGGCAAAATTGTTGTTTTAATTTTTGGAAGCTACAGCTGACGCAATGCTGTTCCAAAGGAATTGTTGAGACAGAAAAACGAAAAATAACTAGAACAGTCAGCGACCAGATTTTGGGAAATCAAGTCAGTCCGGCCGAGTGAATCGCGAAGTGTTGCGGTTACGGAAAATTCCGTAGAAAAAGCGGAAAAACGATTTCTTAAGCATAAGGGTAGTTTTCGCTCGTTTGAATCCGGGAGTGTCTCGAGATCCAGAAACAAATTGAGACGACGAATCGGTAAGTCTTTTATCCATTGTCTTGACTAATACTGTGGGGTTGCATTTGATTTTCTGATCTCAGATTCCTTTATATGTACTATCTACCAGAATCTGTACGTACGTTGCCACCCTACACCGGGTAGTTTTGATCACTTGTACATATAAACGGCGTCTGACCTTTTTTCTGGGTGCAATTGATGGCAAGGTATATCTCACGATATCGAAGATTGTCACGTTTATATTGGCCAGAAAACAATCGAAATCTTCCTGTTATTCACTGCCCGGTATTAGAATAATTTAGTGAGAGTTCAAATTAGCCATTTGTACGCTATATGTACTTAAGAATATTTCTTTTGTATCTCAATTAAGGTACTTATAACTGATTCGATAATTGTCGTATCTCGCCTAATTTCGGGTTATTTTGTTTTTACAATAAACTTGTAGAATTTCATTCGGTTGTTTCACTCAGAGACCAAATCGGATAAGGGAAATATCAGCCATTAGCGGCAGGTCTACAGTGCCGTAACTGATGAGGGAAGTATCGAGTGATTTTTGGCCACCCACAAACTCTCCCTCCCATATAGTGACCCTAAAAAGACCCCTCTAACCATTCATAGGGGGCACGAATCCACTAGAGCCCTCAGGACGCAGGAAACCGAAGCCGTGGCTTTATCAAGGAGCTGGAGGGTAGCAGATTGGTACATAACCCTCGTGGTATGAAAGAACCCCTTCATATATTTCGTTTGGTGACGGTTAGGTATTACACTACCTCACACTACCTACATTACATTAAAATTATTTCAGATTACTTTGGGGTTAGGGCTATCAGGTGTAATACTAAAGAAAAATGTAGGCCTTGCCATACTGAAGAAAAAAAATTTGAAACACATTTATTCAAAACCACGTCCGAAAATCTGTCTACCTTGCCGGTCTATCTTCCTGCTCTTCTCGATAAAACCTGCACAGCAGTTATTCTGCCATGTCTATTATCATGTTTATTGAGCCTATAATGATTTTTAAGAAGTCTTGGTAGTATTGTAGCTGTACTTCTTTGCTGTCCCAGTAGATAGCCCTGAGAAAACTGTACAGTCAAATTATACCTCAGCCTGGATATTAGCACACACAACACTAAGTTATGAGTTATATGAGTTGAGGAGTAGAAAAAATGCATCTGAATGATCCAGAATAGTTTAGCAAAAACGAAAACTAGCAAACAAGCCACTACGAACTATCAGTTTCTATGCAACAGAATCTAACCTCGAGGTCCTCCCGGATATGGATAGCAACACTATATCCGAGCACTGCGACCCTTTCCTGGAATGGTCGTTGCCCTCCTCCTGTCCCGACGGCGACTGCGCCCTGCCCTTCGACCTCCTCCTCTCCGAGACCTCCTGGAAGTCCAGCTCCTCGGTCGAGGAGCGCAGCTCCAGGGCTCCGTCCTCCCGGAAGCCCAGGCCAAGCTTGGCCCCCTGTCGGTCGTGGCAGTCGAAGATCTCGCGCTCCGAGCTGCTGTCGCGACTGTCGTGGTGGGACGAGCTGCTAGCTCGGGAGATGTCTGTGGGGGAAGCAACAGGTCATACAGTGTTGATAGTTTGGTGATTTGTTGCAAGGTTTGGTGGTTTCTATGGTTTCTATGTCGTAGTGGAAGGAGCTGTCAGCTCGGGAATACATATATGCTCGGGAGTACATATATGCTCGGGAGATGTCTATGGGGGAGCAACAGGTCATACAGTGTTGATAGTTTGGTGATTTGTTGCAAGGTTTGGTGGTTTCTATGGTTTCTATGTCGTAGTGGAAGGAGCTGTCAGCTCGGGAGTACATATATGCTCGGGAGATGTCTATGGGGGAGCAACAGGTCATACAGTGTTGACAGTTTGGTGATTATTATGTTATGGTGGTAGGAGCTGCTAGCTGAAGCAATGTCTGTGGGGGAGCAACAGGTCATACAGTTTTGACAGTTTGGTGATTTGTTGCAAGATTTGATGATTTTTATGTGATGGTTGAAGGAGCTGCTAGCTCGGGAGATGTCTGTGAGGGGAGCAACAAATCATACAGTGTTGACAGTTTCATGATTTTCGCAAGATTTGGTCATTTTTATGTCGTGGTGGGAGGAGCTGCTAGCTTGGGCAATGTCTGTAGGAGGAGCAACAGGTCATACAGTGTTGACAGTTTGCTGATGGTTTGTTGCAAGGATTGGTAATTTTCATGTCATGAGTTGGAAGGAGCTACTAGCTCGGGAGACGTCTGTGGGGGAGCAACAGTTCATACAGTGTTGACAGTTTGGTGATTTGTTGCAAGATTTTGTGGTTTTCATGTCTTGCATGGTGGGAGGAGCTGCTAGCTCGGGAGATGTCTGTGGGGAAAGCAACAGGTCATACAGTGTTGATAGTTTGGCGATTCTTTGCAAGATTCATTGGTTTCTATGTCGTAGTGGAAGGAGCTGTCAACTCGGGAATACATATATGCTCGGTAGATGTCTGTGGGGGGAGCAACAGGTCATACAGTGTTGACAGTTTGATGGTGATTTAATAATCGATGAAGGACATAATGAATTAATGAATACCTATTTGAATGAATGAATTATTGAATAATGGGGAAGTTTCCAATATTCAGGTTTTTATCTCACTGTGAAGTTTGTAAAAAATTAATATATACGTATTTTTTCTTTTTGTCGTAGGATGAAATTTCACTTCAGAAAAGAATAAATAAAAGAGGAACTTGGCTCCTCCACCATTCCTATGACGTACTTTCTGAAAATCCACACAGAGTTAAAATACGATTCCCTGTGCCAGTACGACGTTGTCGATATCATAAATATGTCTATATAGATTTCCAGAAATTGTTCTTTGAATGCATAATAACTATATCATAACAGCAATGGGATATAATAGGTTCTTCAATCCTACTTTGTCGAGTATTATGAATAATGCCCATAAATCTCCCATTGGCTGAATGGAGTTGATTATTAATAAAGGTAAATTATGATATTTTGCGATAGTATCTATAATTTTTCACTATCGTTATATTACAATATGTTATTCATAACTTGTCAGTCATTTTTTTGCTAATGAATTCGTTTCTAAATAAAACGGATCTATTTTCTTGGTAAGTTGCATATCATACCTCGCGACAGCACCTAATACTTCGAGTCCGTCCACACCACTCAAAATACTGACAGGCACAACAAGAGTAAGGAGCCATTGGTGTCGGCTTCATTCTCTTCTGACCGATGGCAGTAAATTAGGAAGGATAGTATCATTGAATGTCGCCGATATTGATTCATTGATTCAATGATATTTTCGTTTAGGATCGAGCTCTATTCGAGAGATTTCAATGCATAAATAACAAAGTATAACCTGTCAGAATGAAGCCAACTACCTTCTACATTCCTGCTCCGAGTGCATTCGCTAGCTATATTCTTCACCATCAGCAATTTTCAGACTAGATTCAGAATGTACGTCACAGTTTGCCGCCCCGAAAATAATAAATTGCTTTGATTTGAAAATAAAAACGACTTGGACTTTATCGGACATAAAACTGGAGAGTTCCGAACTTATTTTATGATAATTCATCTGAAGGAAACTTCCCCATTGTATTGACGAATGTTTGCTCGCCTATTCTAGGTGTGGCCGGCGGCCGGATGCTCGTCTTCGGCGGGGTGCTCGCGCAATGGGCGGCCCCTATGCCTGGCCCCGGGGCACCCGTCGCGCCGATGATGCTGATGCCCCTGTGGGACAAAGCCGGCGATACGGCCCTGTCCGACATGGCCGGCGTCGTTGGGGTGAGGTCTTCCCGGATGCCGGGCAGCCTCACCACGGAGCCTTCTATGGTCTTCTCCTCGGGGCTGCCTTGCTGGAAACGAGATAGGTTCTTACTACACCTTTTTCAATTGTAATTCAGAAGGCAAAAATTGTAATTCAGGGTTCTCAAATGAAATTCAGAAAGTGTCAATTGTTATTCGGATTAGCTCCCAGTCCCACCCTGTTTTCTCTTTTCCTCGCGGATATTGAAGAATATTTTCTCAATAAAGGCCACTCTGGCGTAAACATTTAGTCTCGTATTTAGAGATTCACAAATTGATCTTGCCTGCAAATTGAAAATTCTGGAAGAGTATTCAGCATCAGAGAATAAGTTGACAGTCAACACTCAAAAAACAAAAATTATGGTGTTCGGTAGGGGTGGGTACCATTTCAATTACAATAACAAATTTCATCTCTACAACGAACCATTGGAAGTTGTAAAAAAGTACTCCTATCTTGGGGTGATATTTTCTTCTTCCACGAAATGTCTAAGGATACCGTAACTAAATCAAATCGTGCTATCGGGGCTGTCATGAATATCATGTGCAGATCTAAGATTAACTCATGGCACACTAGAATTAAATTGTATGAATCCATAATTGTGTTATCCCTTTCACACTCCATTGGAATTTGGGGACTACGTTATGTTGACGTTATTGAACGGATTCAAGTTAATTTTTTTAAACGTTTACTGTCACTACCTAAAAATACTCCAGACTATATTGTTATTCGTCTGGAAACTTCTTCAATAAAACGTTCTTATCTGATTTTCCGTGATTTTCACTGCAGCTCTTTCACATTTTGCACTTCTTAACTCATAATGGACGACCATCGACTAACAAAGGTCTGTTTTTTAAGACTGCTCAGGCTCGATAACGTTGATCCTAAATACAACTGGGTTTTGCAGGTCAAACAATATTTCTCTTTTGCCGGAATGGTCGATCGTTGGTAACAGTTTCTGCACAATAGTTCTAATAAGCAATGATTTGGAGAGTTTGAGCCAATCTTCCTATCCTCTCATTTATAAAAGTGTCTCTGGGTAAATGTTCAAAATTACTTCAAAGCGCGCATCCCCATACGTATAACTAGAATTATCGCTCAATTAAGGACATGCAGTAAGTCGTCCCTTAGAATTACCTTCAATCGAATAGTGTATGAAATAAATACTGAAGAAGAATGTACTGTTTGCAATCTCCACCGACCGGAATCTTTGGAACACATTCTCTTTGAATGTCCAGTTTATGCTGGTATCAGGAATTGTCGATTATTTCAAGACATTGAATCTCTAGATGATTTAATATATCTTCTAAATTATGGTGGCCTAGCTGACTTGGAACTTCTAGTACCTACAAGTTATGATCAATTTACTAAAGCTCAGATATTTTGTTGTGAATGAGTAATTTGCATATCAATTATTATTTCGATGTCTTCATTGGTACATTTAATCGAGGTCACGCAGGAAGAATTTTCGTTTTAGCTATTATTTCTCATGTATTAATTCATTACAGATTACACAACCCTTGAAATAAGAATTATTGTAATTCTTTTTATACAATAAATCTATCTATGTCTATCTAATTCGGATTAGCTAATTGAAATTCAGGAAATATTACCTGCAATTCAGATTAGTCAAGTGAAATTCAGAAAACAGTTGTGAATCAGATTTTTCAATTGGAATTTAAAGCGTCAATTGAAATTCGGATATCGTCATTTGTAATACATACATACATACATAATGAATAAAAAATACCTAATATCACAGCGTCTTTAGCAAGAAAGTGATGCTACAATCATACTCATAATAATAAAAAAATAATAATAAAAGAAATAAAAAATGAAAGAAATGAAAAAAGACAGTATCAATACGGATTAAAAGTGTATGTACTAAATTGATAACATAAACCTAAATGAATAAGAGTATTCCGTCAGGAGCTATCGTGTCATAAAAAAAATCAACTTGAATTATTCCAATCTTTAGCTAGATCCTCTTGAACACAATGTTTCTTTGATGAGATGTTGTTTCACAGATCTCCTAAAATGAATTGAAGAAACAATATTTCTGAAATGGACTGGAAGATGGTTATATAATTTGACAGCATTATAAATCAATTACTTTTTAGTTGAGATCGTCGATGAAATATGGGAAGTCTTAAATTGTTGTTTGGCGAGTAGAACTTACAATCGTATCATATGACGATTTATTGTTGTGAACTAAACATACTGTTTCGAGAATGAAGAGGCACGGAAGTGTTAGGATCTTGTGTTCTGAGAACAGAGGTATGCATGATACTCTAGGTGCCACTTTGTAGAGGTATCGAATAGCCCGCTTCTGGAGAAGATCGATTTGAAATTCTCTTCACTGCAAATGCCCCAGAAAGGTATTCTATATCTTGTGTGTGACTCAAATTCAGTCCTAAAAGGAATCTACTCTACCTCAGACTTGAGTCTTTGTTTCCACGCGATTGTTGCAGAAGGCTAGGTAACATGCAGTTATGATTTGAAGCTTACTTGGCATTCACAAATAGTTGTTGTCAAGATACCAAAGAAGAAAAGTTCTCATGGTCATGTTGAAGGTATTCCAGAAATTACGATATCAATCAACAGAAAGAGAATTCGTGAACTGTCGGCTAATTGACCAAATCAGATGTGGATATATAACTGAATAGGGGAAGTTTTACTGTAGTAATCAATATTATTATCATTATTATTACAAGTGAAATAATATTTTCTCTACGGAACCTCAAAAT